CCGAGTGTCACACACTGGTTCAACTGTTGTACTCTGAACGAAGTAAATGTTCATTTTGGTTTAAAGACAGTTAAAAGGAAAATATAAACTCTTATGAAGCGAATAAAAACATGACCTTGAAGATAATCATCTTTCCTTGAGTAAGAATGCGGTAGTTCAATAGAAATTAAACAACCTAGTGATTTCTTATTGGTCTATCAAGTTTGTCACGTGGCAATATAATATCTCGACGAGTTGGTCGGGTCAAATGAGAGTTTTAATTTAATTTGAAGAGGAGTTCGTGACATCTATACAAAAGCATTTAAGAAAATAATTGACAACACTGTTAAAGGGAGCTGATTGTAAGCTTCATTTTTTTCCCACTTATACTATGATTAAGTACAAACATAGGACTAATAAATTTAATTTTGAATCAAGGGCAATAACTCAGTTTTGAAGCGTACAAATATTATCATCATTATACTGCCTCAGAATAAAACAATATGTAGGAAATGTTCAAATTCTGAATAAACTTATCATAATTTCCTTGCAAATGGCAATAATTTGGTTTTCTTCCAGTATGGCTTCGGAACAAATCCAGAAATCATATAGAAGTAATAAAGAATCCGCACAAGCAAGACAATTCCGTTAAAATTAAAAGTTATGTAGTAGTGGTAGTAGTATAAAGGTGTTTCGAAAAGACTAAGTTGGTGGAACTAGATTAAGCGCTGTGGCAAGTAACCTTACTGAACACTTGATGTCACAATGTGACTTGGTTTGTCAACTCGGTACCACATACTTTTGTTAATTTAATGTGGTCATTATGAACCAACAAGCTACAAGATTGTCCTCCAAGATCTTTCTTCGGATTAATAGCTTTCAGTTAAATCCATGTCCCAAACCAGACTTGATTGTTCTGAGGGGCAAGTAATATATCCGGGGGGGCAATAGTGTATGTTGGTCGGTTGTCAGAATAATGTCAAAGAGGGGGGGGGGGGGGCAATTCATTTTTCCAAGCTAACCCCTTCCCCCACCATGTAGTTTGCTAGTAGCCAATAGCAGGAAATGTACTGGCTGCCTTACTGACTCTTTCGTGAATTGAGCATAAACAAAATGTTTATTTGCGGGGAATTGTCACTTCCCTTCACTACCACATTGTGCCTTACACGGATATATTTTGATATTTACTTGGCAATTTTTTTTTAAAAGACTGTCACAGCAGCAGCCATACAAAATTAGTTTCGAATGTTTTAGGGGATTTCCCTTGGCATTATTTATATAGTTCATTTCTTAGAATATGTTTTAAACATCTCTTTTTTATCCGATATCACTTGTAACGAACGCACCTATATTTAAATACAATCCAATCATTATTGTCATTGAGCTCTGAATTACCATAATATGGTAATGAATATATTATAATATTTCTATTCGAAAACAAACGGCATTTCACTTCATACTTGAAAGGCACACAAAACATGCAATAATTGTCAAGAATTCCAGGTACCTTTGTAGACTGAAGGTCGAAAAAATTGAGCTCTTTCTGGAGTTTTGGGAGGAGATGATATTGAAAAGCGTCTAGTCGTTCGGATGACTTGCAAAATGAAGCTTAATCCCGCTATCTTGGAAAAATTTACTGTATCCATTTTCTTTAGCTCTAGCTGTATCAGAAAAATAATGGTATAACTCTCAATTAGCTCCTTGTCTCAGTTCTATAGTATGAAGAAGTTACAATAGGTTGCAGGACGTAAAACTCCATTCATTTCATTTCAATTACAATAGGTTACCATACCAAACGGTTGTAGGCCTACGTATACAATTATAACAATAACAATATTATATTCGACTTCGATATTCGTACGTGTGCGAAATACTGCATATAATAATTTATTTTTTTTTAATTCTTCGGGATTTAACTTTTATTCGAAAGGCGTGCTTCATGGAAAAAAAAAACAAGCCCATGCAAGTCATACCGAAATATGGGAGACATTTGGGCTATAAAGTGTATGAATGATATGCAAGAAAGTTGTTAAATAAAATTATAAATTTTTTCTTTACCTTTCTACACACTGGTGTACATAAGCTAGTAAATCAAAATAGATTGATCAACTTAACCGTAATCGCACCTAACCTAACCGTTTTGAAAATAAAACCTAAGGACCTACACGGAGAATTGAAATAAGACTACTTACTCGAGATCGTTAATGAAGACGAGCAACTCGATGCATTGAGCGACGGATTTTATTTTCAGCTTTATAGTACATTTATTGTTGATTTCAAACTAATCCATGTACAGGCTATCATTTTTACAAAGCTTTGATCAGTTGAACGAATGACAAAAAAAACTTTAGTGAAAGCGTAAAAATCGATAGGGAAATACGAGCATAAAAATGTTACCGAATGCTATCCAAATCAATTCCTACAAAATGACTTTGTTATAATTATAAAATAATGTCGAATGGCCAATGGTGGTCGTAGCAACTAGGAAGTTTGCAATGTAAGTTAAACAAGCAATTGAACTATTTACATTGTTACAATATTTGGTTGATAGGTGTTAAACGAGGGCTGGCTGAAAAGACTTCATCTATTTCTCTTCATAGTTCCCTTCCAAATTTACACGTTTTACCAGCGGTGCTGTAAGGTATGGATGCAGGTCACCTTTAAAAAGCCATTCACGGTGGAAATGACGCCAACATTACCAGAAAAATGGCATTTTTGGAGTCAGGTGGATATCTGAGTAGCCAAATCGGAGTATAACATCATGGGCATAAATATTATTTAGAAAATCTTGTCACTGGGCAAGTTGGTCAACAGAAATATTGTAATATAGCAATAATAAAATCATCTTTGGCGAATTCTGGCAGTCAAAAGCTGATCGAAATAAATATAGAACAATTGAGGTGAATGTATCAATTTCACTTATTATATATTCAACGAGATTTTATTCAAATTTCAAAGGTGCAACTTAAGAGCATGAACACTAAATTACATTCTTAAAGGGATTGTAAAGAGGTTTTTTGAATTTTTTTTTATGTGTATCGGGAACACTGCTAGCACCATTCCAGTTTTTAATTAGACATCTGTGGTTCCTGCAATTCCACTAAAACTAAATGTTTGATGACGTCACTAATCCCAAAATATGCTTTGTCACTTATCGCAGAATCTGCTTTATCACTTAAGGACTTCATAAAACGTTTAGTTTTAGTGGAATTGCAGGAACCACAGACATTTGGTAGAAAATTGGAATGGGGCAAATTGATGCTATCAGTGTCCCTGATACGCATATTTTTTTTAAAAAAAAACCTCTTAACAATCCCTTTAAGTAATTGAAAGTTTCAAGTGTAGTGTATTTTTCTGTAAATTTGTAAAAATCGTTGGTTTTCTATAGATAAATATTATAATTGGACGAATGTAAATAGAACCATGACAAACTCTCAAACAGATCTCGAAGGCCTGTATATTATATTATATTAACAATAGATACGGTTTTACAAATGTTTCTATGACATTTTACAGGGATGAGCAACGCGACTTCTTCATTTTGGACCAAAGAATTAAAGGGGAATCCCCCAAAAAATCTTTATAGAAGAGAATTGTTCAAATTTTGCCAGGACAACGGCATTAGTTTGCTTATTTTCGATTTCCATCTGTCGAAGGATCATTAACATGCACAGCCTGAAGCACACAGGGCCTCGGTTTATTGTCTCATCCGAACGACTTGACGCTTTTTCCATGTCAGTCCCTCTTGGAAAATCGGGAAAAATTTGTTTAGTAGTGGACTCCTCCAAAGAGAAGTACCATCAGGTACCAAGAGTAAACATGGTCTGCTTCACTCGTGATACCCGCCACTTCTGTATAGGTCGCAATCAAGAGATACAATCAGATCAGATACCAAACATAAGATATTTCTGTCTTGTCAGAATGACTATGCATTATTTGTGGATTGTTTTTAATGTTTTATGTACTGTGAAATAAGGCAATAATTATAAATAACTATAATTATAATTTAAAAAAATGGTTAACTATTTGTTCAGCAATAAAGATAATCATTTCAATATCGGCCTCTCTGGTCAAGCGAGATCACATTCATCGTGAAAGGTTAGAATTCTCCCAAAGCATAAATTTCATAACTATTTTGGACATTGATGTTAATTTTTGCTACAAGTGCTTCCAATGGAAATGGCATCGATGAATACCCAGAATTCGATTTTTTGAAACGAAGTGCATTTTAAACCAAAAACCCTTGCAATATCGGATGTCCCATAGCAAAAAGTACAGAACCAGTGAGATCGGTATGTTCACATATTAAGGGAGGTAATCCAAAGTAACATGGTTAAATCAGACTACTCTCAAGTTATGTTTTACAATCGAATGTAAAATCACCAGTCTGGGTGGGTCTGGGTTTCTATCATAATACTTTACGGACTACCACTAACCCAGCAGTATTAACGATACAGCTGTATCTACGACACATCGATCGAAATAAGGATAGCATTCGGAGGAAACTTTTTGATTTTATTGAGAAATCAGTCTTGTCTTTGGCTTGATTTAATGCATGTTAATGGTAGTAAGAAAGAATCAATATACTCCTTAGTCCGATATGATAACCTGTTAGGGATAAACTATTCCTTCGAAGAAGAAAAAAACAGTCCTGAAAAAAATGGCACGAAACGTAAAGGTGTAAATAGAAGAGGTAAGGTGTAGATTATGGCTATATCACACCCCATTCGTCATAGTTCCTCCAATGTTAATCAGACTAGTCAAATCGAGTATTTTTGATACGATGATCGAACCCCTTACCTGGTTTTTCACAGCTTAAAGAGTTGTGGAGCTCTTGTTACTTAAAAGCTATCACGCTCATTCACATTAAGTAGCTTTGCGTGCATTTATAAAGCATGTGATGTTGTATGCAAAATCTATATTTGTAAATACAAGTAGGGCCTAATGGCTAAAGCATTAATAGCTCACAAATTCGTTACGTCAGGTGAGACATGTGACAAAAAAGAAGTATTGGGGTTAATAAATAGGACAGCTGTCTATATGTGAGTCGGTATCTGCATTGATCCGAACTATTACTAATTGTTTAGACGGATAGCATGGATGTCTTACTCTTTACATGTGTTATCTGTGCCTTATTTGGAGGATATGTTAACGCCAAATCGCCCCATATAGTGTTTATAGTAGGGGATGATTTAGGTAAGTGAATGAATATAATATTCATAGACTATATTGAATGAATAGATCTAGCAAATACGATGGTTATATAGGTCAAGGAAAGAGACACTTAAATATATGAATAAGGAAACAATAATGTCTAATAGTTCATGGGAAGATGTACGCAGATGACGATAAATTTACATTGGTAAAGACATATTTACAAGGATAACGGAGCATTTACATGAATTAATTGGCGTTAAAATCGATAAAGTGGCATTTACATTGTTAAAGACAACTTTACGTGGATAAAGACAAATTTACGTGGATAAAGATACTCTTACATGGATAAAGACACGTTCAGGTGGATTAAGACACGTTTACGTTAATAAAGACACATTTACGTGGATGAAGATACTTTTGAGTTTTACACGGATACACACACATTACATGGATAATGAAATATTGCATGAATAAAGAGACACTGGCATGGATAACGATATATCGGGATAAGACATTAAGCTCCCCAATTACGGATGCATGCACGACCATATATTCATTGATTTCCACACCTTCTGCTTATCAACCTTTTTTTGCAGGGTGGAATGATGTTGGATGGCACAATCCTGCGATGAAAACACCAAATTTAGATAAGTTAGCCCAAAATGGAGTGATCTTGAATTCAAGTTATGTTCAACCCCTTTGTACACCGTAAGTCTAAATGTTTCTTACTTCTCATAAATATTACCGTATCGTCTTAATACAAATTGCATTGAAATTGCTGCTGTGTGTTAGAATTGGGCGACGAAAGATTGCATAATAGGAAAGGCATACCATCCTCCCAGCCTCGTAGATCATATAATTTTTTTTTTAGATCGAGAACTGCCTTTCTATCTGGTTACTATCCATACCGAACGGGATTACAGGTAACATATTACTTGGATTTTAACTTGACACTAAAATATTAATATTAAATATTTTAACTTGAAATTGAAAAACTCGACACTAAAATATTACTTGGAACTTCACAAAAATATATTAATCGCTTGTAGATATCGATATTCGAATTTCGTCATCCTATGGGCAATACCAGGTAAAAACAGAATGATAACACATGAATGAAAACCTCTTTTACACATTTTTACAAACATGTTACAGCATTTGGTGATATTGCCGTACAGTCCAGCATATTTACGTCTAAATTACACCTTATTGCCCCAAAGGCTGAAAGAAGTTGGGTATAAAACTCATATGGTGGGGAAGTAAGTATTCTTAATCAACTTTTTATTTTAACTTAGCCTGGAAAAATACATTTTAATTGTGACCAAGTGACAGAAAAGTGGCATGTATAAAAAGAAAAAAAAATACTAGGATGGAGTAAATCTATCACCGGTTGCATGTTTGTGCTGAAGGTTTCAAATGGTATAAGTTTCGGCATTTGACAGTTTTATGAACATGAAAATATCAGTTCCAATGCATCTTGTAGATGGCATCTAGGATTTTGTAACTGGAACTATACACCAACTTATCGTGGATTTGATAGTTTCTATGGATATTACAATGGAGCAGAAGATTATTACAGTCACGAGCTATGTAAGTATAAGTCCTTCAACATATCAAACACTTAGTTTAAGATGGAACTACAGGAACCGCAGATGTCTGATCGAATCTTCTAATGGTGCAAATTAATGCTATCATTTTCCCCAATACACATCCAAAATTTAGAAAAAGAAATTAAATGGAGTTTACGTCTTGCACCTAATTCAATTCAAACAAAGATCAAAACTAATTAAGGAGCTTAACCTAAATCCAAAACAACATACATGTATAGCCAAAAATATTACAAGCTTGGTCGAAACTCAAATGTACAAGCCTAGGATGAAACAAAATAAGCTAACTTCACTCAGAAACTGGAATAAGCGGTCTGAACTGATGGGTATTTTTCTTATGTTCTGTTTATCTTAGTATATGGTCTGGATTTGAGATTCAATAAAACCGCTGTCCGGGATCAGAAAAACATTTACTCAGCGGTAAGTTAAGAAAAAACAAACAAACGGATGGCTTACTAACTTGAAGCATATGAACATTGAGCATTCTCCGTACTTCGTATACACCCTATCCAGATACACCATTTCTTGCATACAGCGACATAAAGTCGTTAAAAACAGTATCGTGTTCAGGTCGCATAAAACGTAGTTAAACCAAATTGAAAACTTTAAGAAAATTTAAGTTTTGATTAATATTTCTAACTTACAGATGAGTTTTACCAAACGTGCAGAAGACATTATCAAGGCACACGATAAGAAAGACCCCCTATTCCTCTACCTCCCTTATCAAACCGTCCATGCTCCTCTAGAGGTAAGAATACGTGTTATAAGGAAGAACACATGTCGTAAGGAAGAACACAATTAGATGGTAGATTCACTAGATTCTTGAAGAAACACATTAATACATTGTCAAATTTGGTCCCAATTTCAGGTTAGCAAGTAGACTGGACACGATTAGCTTTATCGATGGTTAAAATTAACAAAAAGATTTGACAGTCAATTCATAATAACATCATATCAAACTATTTCAACGGCAGCATAGGTCTAAGAAAGGGACCTTGCCGGGACGAATGTTTCAAATGTTGTTTTAGGTACCTAAAAGATTTGAAGAAATGTATAGTCACATTCAAGATAAGAATAGACGATTATATAGTGGTAAGTATAAAAACTAACAAACACAAAAATATTTCTAATAAATCATTATTTACAAGTTAGTAACTTTGTGTTCAAATACCACAAATATTGAAGATTAAATTCAAGAAAACTCTTACATAGAGCTATGATGCTTCAACGCTGGAAACTGGTCCTTTCAAGGCTTCGACATTGTTACTTTAAGTAAAAACTTTACGATGTATATCGAAAAGCTTTAAAATATCCAGTTTAATCTATAAGCTAATCATCCAGCACCATTTTAAGGAATGGTATCAGCTCTTGATGAAGGAGTAGGTAATGTTACCAGAGCTTTACAAGAGAACGGCTTCATGAACGAAGATATCCTCATCGTGTTTACAGCTGATGTAAGTGAAAGTCATTTCATTCTATAATGGTGAATTTGGTTCATGCTTCTCTTTCTTTATATGATGAGGGTGATTTTGCATGGGTTGGTTTCACTTCTTTGCTTATTAATATTTTAAATACCAACTGACAAGACATCTGTTAAGTACGTATCATGAACCACGCGTGGCCTCGAACGACTCATAGTATTCCGAATACGGATTCCGACATGGCCATTGTCCTCCCGAAGAAGTATGACGAATGGGGTTTTGGTTTGGACACGAACAACTATACACTTGTCAGTTTTACTGTCGACCTCTAGCAAGGAAATGAGAAAACAGTTTCCGCAAGTGATCCATCACAATATGAGAATGTAGCCTAACAGGTTTTTCATGACTTTAGAATGGTGGTCTTCCTGCTCAAGGTGGCAACAATGCACCATTACGGGGTACAAAAGGATCGATATGGGAAGGTGGTACAAAAGGAGCAGCATTTGTGTACAGTCCTAGCTTGTTGAAGAAGACAAAATACGTCAATACAGGGTAGGTCCGTAGAAACATTTCAACTTATAAGTTACTAACCCAGAAACGCCATTAATCGGTCGGTCAACTGTTTTCACACTAATTCTGTGTTCTAAGAAAAAAAAAGCAGATTAGTAGTTGTGGTTTACTGATTTTTGTCATGCTTTTACACCACTTAGGAACCAATAATGACCCATAACGATTCATAATGAATGCTCTAGACAAGACAAAACTCTTAATTTCACATGGGTCAGATTCTGGTCCATTACTCCAAAATGACTGTCTAGACTAACAATAACAATCTTACACCAGGATTTCAAATTAAATCCTTCAATTTTAACTTCCAGAATGATGCATGCTACTGATTGGTTTGCGACATTTTTGGAAGTTGCTGGTGCCAAACCAGGTAAATCATTGCTTTACCATTCCAATTCAAAATATTCAAACTTTAACCTTAGATGATTGTTGAAAAAAGGATGAAAGATACAACCTATTATTTGTAACAAGGATAAAAACTAATGATCAGTAGGATCCTTGGATCTTGGCCTCTGTGTCGACTGGAATAATGAGGAAATATAACGAATCCAAGGCCAAAGAACTTTCACACGCCGAACAAAATCAGAATCAACGACAACCATTTTTTCGAGGTGACCAAGCAAATTGCGTCATATATTGTTTACTCCGCTTAACCGACAAAGTTGTTTGAGCAACAGATTTATTGAATTAAATTCGTTAAAAAGTCGAACATATTGTGTCACAAAAGTTGTCTCAAAATTGTAGAAAGTGGAATAGACGGCATCAGTCAATGGTCGATGTTGAAATCTGATCAGCCAAGTAAACGGTCAGAATTTATCTATAATATCGACGAAAAGATTCCTAATGCCGGTATAAGGTAGGTAGATGTTGTTGATGTCATGCATTCATTTCAAACCCATGGCCTTATAACATGGGATCAAAATTCCTGATAATATCTGCACATAAACTATTAATATCTGTTAAAAACTCTTTGAAATGACTGCAGTTCATTTTGCATAATATCAGTACTACAATGTTAATTTGACGTTCTATATTGCCTTTTACTTTTAATGGATATACATATCGGCTACTTTTATACAAAATTATACATTTAAATAACATACTACTTCACCGCGCCCTTTTACATTGGACAGGTCGGGAGATTTTAAGCTGTTAGAAGGTAACCCAGGTGATGGTAAATGGTATCCTGTTCCAACTGTCGAGGCAGATAGAAACACCTCTTTGTATTATCTCCCTTTAAAGCAATCTCAATACCGGCTGTTCAATATCGCAGGTACCTTTTCACATTTTACTTTAATCGCTTATACATGTTATTACTTTCGGACGAGATAATAAATCGAGGGTCTTACGTGTTACAGACTGTGCACGTTAAAAATCCCGCGACAGTTGGAAATCGAAAAAGAGTAGGCTAATGCCGTTGTCCTGGCAAACTTTCCCCCCATTGTAATGTACACAGGATGGCGTTGCCTAGGTGCAGAAAAGTTTTTTTCCTGCTGGAAGGATCTGATCCTATTTTGTACATGGATGTGTCAATTTGACAATGCCGTCGGACATTGTACCAAAGGTCATAACATTCACCGTCAAATTAATATTATTTTTCAGATGATCCCACAGAACATGTTGATCTCGCCGACAAGCATCCAGACATTGTCGCCAAATTAAAAACCAAACTAGCAGAATACAAGAAATCGTTAGTCCCAGCATTCAATCCTGGGTTTGTTTTCAAATCCTTACCAATATTTTACGATGGGACTTGGAGTCCTGGGTGGTGCTAAAAATTTGTGCACTGCCGGCATCATTAGCCAAATCGAGAAGAAGCCAATGTAGAATCAAAATTTTTACTCACTGAAACATTAACCACTTTGTTATTTTGAATTTTGTTATAACTTAATGTTGTGTTATCGTCAGTCCAAACTAATATTTAATTCACTTATTTTTGCTTACTTTCTCGTTTACATGCTATTCCCCCAGCAAATAATGAAATTACCTCCCTTCCACCATTCATTTTTTTGTAAATAGACACGCTTACGTTTCATTTTATCATTCCACATAGGAGATCAACATAACCAGATAACCCGATATATTCATTAGAGAAACCATGTACGGTAGCAATAAAATATTATGTAAACTTACAATTCCTGTTTCCCATAAAAAGACCTTAGACCTTAAATCTTATTTTAACTTCTTTGGTTTTAAATGCTCCACTATGCCTGGATATTATTTCTGAATCACAGCTAAGGACCTGTTATCGGCATTTTGGGCTAAGATTTAAAAAAAAAACATCCGTGGAAAACCAATTCAAGTGCCAACAACACCCTGGGACTGAAATTTTGACATCTGAGCATTTGCAATGTATGGTCATTATGCGCTGATTAGCAATCATTCATTATCAATAAAGTATAAGTAACCTTGCGTAACTTTATCTAAATAGCTTCATATGACGCAATGAATTATAACCAATCAAAATGACTTGTCATTACAATGGAGTTGACCGTACTCAGCATACTTTTGGATATCGTGGTGTGTTTTGTTTTTTTACAAAACAAACCTTAACAATGTATTTCTAAAATCGTGTGGATTGGCTGGATGGAAAATCATATGGAATCATCAATAATTTATTACCTCGATCAATTAATACTAGATTCACTTGCCACAGTAAAACACTGAAGAAATATGTAATAATTTCGGACGTGTTGATTAACCATAAACCACAACAAAGAAACAGCAGAAATGGGTAACACGTTTTAGAACACATTATAGCAATCTAACTTTTATAAAACTTTATTCAAGTATAATATTAATAACAGAAGAATATGACAATTTATTAAAAAAAAATTTTTTACAACAAACAACAACAACAATTAGGAAGACAATGTCAATATTTTATTTTAAATTCAAGATGTGAGAAAAAAAAATCCAATTTTAAATTTCAATAGCAAATTTTGTTTTCACATTAGATTACATTTAAAGGAACAGATTAGTATTAACTGGAAAAGGAGAAAATATCATGAACATTAATTCTTAGAGAAATATTTAGCTACTGTAAACATCAGAATTGGTAATGTCCATCCCATAATTATAGCTGATGCTCCTGAAAAAATTTATAATATGTTAAATGAAATTCTGTACTAAGTCGGTACAATATTCAGTATAAACTACATACATAGTATGTACAAAATACAGATGTGATTTATTTATTCAATGGAAGATAGGGGACAAAATCATTGATGACCTGCAATACCTGACCAGTTTGGAAAGCTGCTAGTTTTGTTAAAATTTCAGATTTGCAAACCTGGATGTTCCCTTTTGTTTTTTCTGCGAGCAGCATGCATATCTCAGACTTTACCGGATCGATTTATTGCTCTTAATCGCAAACGATGTGTGCCTTTGTGATGCATGGATCTAGCTGTTCCCTCTACTCTGTTTGATTTTAGCCTAGACGTCTTGGGACGCTGATTGATCCGAATGCTTCTTTGAAAGGTTGTCCGCTAAAAAGTTCTTAGCATTGACCAAGCTACCTAGACAAGCGAACAGAACTCTATGAAATTTTGTGCCAACACGGTGGATGTTGAAGGTCCTGAAGTGACAGCTCTGCGGAATGAGTGTAGAAATGAGGTAGGTCTATCATTACTTACCACAACGTTCGTATTTGTGAAGTGTCACTTGTTTTTTGTAAGTATCATCAGCTCGAGAACACCCCTTATCGCGTAAACACTTGAAAAAAGGTGCCTTGTCTCTGAAAGGAAAATCAGTAAGTGATCAGAAATATGTTCATTTTCATGTGAATTGTTTATCTAACATGTCCATTGGTTATCCTACGATAGGACATTTGATTTTCTAAACAACATATCCTAGTTTATGTTAAGAGTACGTTTTGTTTATTTTGAAATATCTATATTGAAAAGATAGTAAAATCTGAACGTTATGGTGAAAAAAAAATAACACTGACTTAAACGAAAATAAAATTTACAATTTTAACGAAAAAGAAAATTTACAATGTTAACGAAAATTGATATATCCATGTACAACAGGAAACTGTCTAGCATGTGCCTCTTTAGACAAAGATCTGCAATCACAAGACTTTATTTTATTCTCATCAATTTTGTCGATCAAATCATGACCAGGCATCAAAAAATTACCTTAAACAAGGTTGGCTATTTCGACCATGATTTAAGAGCTATGATTATAAAAACCTTATCCGTGAATAGGTAACCAATATTGTTGATAAATAAACCAACATAATTTATAATATCCAAAAAAAGAATTCAAATATCATAACACTAATTAAAAATTTTTCCTACTCGCAAGTTGAAGCATCAAGTATGCCGAGATTGATGGTGCCACATTGAACTGTGGACGAAACACATCCCAGTTCTCCACCATTAACATGATTCAGGGCAATTGCTACAATACAAAAAAACGAATGGAATCAATTAATTTAGTCATGTATAGTATAACATTACAGCAATGCTGAACCCCCTTTTAGTTAAAGGAGCACCTCCACTATCCGTTTGACGAATCATACCTTAGTTTCAGGAAGGGATTATGCGATTTTCGTGTCGTGCGTTTTAGTCCTTCTAAAGACTATTAAAACACATTCAAGACCCAAATCAATCCCCGAAAATGCCGACTGTTCCCGGGGAAAATGTTCCCACAAAAAATCCAATTTTTATGCGTTTTGCAAAAGTGTTGATGATGACTGATATCAGCGTCTGTGCTTACACAGCAATGGTTTGATTTGGGCATATTCCTTCATTTTAAAATTCTTTTTATATTTGTTTTTTTTTTAATCCTGGAACATTAAAAACTATAAAACACCTTACCCAGAAGAGATAGTAGAACAATAGTCTTCATCTTCAGATTTTGATATGATCCTTAGGAAGAGGCTGCGATACGAAATGCAATTTGACTGCTTGAGGCAAAGGTGCGCATCTGCCTCTAACATAGTCTACGTGGATGTTTAATAACTGCACTCATCGTTACATGTTTCTGATTGGATGATGAAAGAATGTTTTAAAATCCTTTGACAAGTTGCTAGGTGGTGGTTGCAATATTTCCACCTCAAAACACGCGCTATAAAGGTGCAAAACATAACAAGTCAACTCACTTAAAACACAACTGGATTAAAATCTATAATAGGAGCTAAAATGATTTTCTTAGAATTGTGTTTCCTCGAAAGCCTCGATTACACCAAACGCCCTAAAGACCAAATAAAGCATTACATTTCGTTTTTTGAACACCACAAACGTTGTACCTTTAAGGGAAAGGCTAAGTTGTCTATCCGAAACGTTTCTCTTTCTGCATGAAAAGAAAACGTTGTTTGAAATGGTAATTTGTCATTTCGAATTGTTGTACATTAGCCATAACCAAAATTTCAGTCAAAAATGGCAAACAAATCATTCTGCCACAGTCGGGTGGTAAGAAGATTTACCATATCTTCGTTCGAAATATTCATAATCATATTTACGATCCGAACAACGAAACGAAACCGAAATTGGTAGCAGCTCGTATTGCAACAATAACAATATTAACTTTTCGGGTAGCGATTGAAATAACCTCCGGCAGACAAGTAGTTTTTTCAGCTGATGCTCTAAAAATAATTAATTTCTCAAAGAAATCCGCCGAAAAATAACGGGCAACAACTCGAAAAACATGATTTTTTTTACCAAACATTTTTTTTTTCAAAGTTTTATCTAGTAAAATGATTAATCTTGACATAAGTTAAGTTACTGTGGATAAATAGTACAAAAGTACTGACTCTGGAGCCCGTTTTTCAAAGATTCGTACGACTAAACTTGCACAAAAGGGGCATTCCACTTTTTGTAGGTCTAAAATATTTTTGAAAACTATCCACCAAAATCTAGAGTGCCCTTTACCGTATCATAAACTTCTAATTAAAATATTCAGCCGTTGAATTTTAAACGTCAAAAATAATTGCCTAATTGTAGCGAAATATATCTATATATTCAAAAGGTTTCAACAATACCAAAACTGGGTCAAACTGCACAAACAAGAAGATATACATAACATACTTATCAAATATTTTCAGGTATAATTTACGACGATTTTGATTATGAAACCTTTTCTGAAAAAAGCAGAATACCCCTTGATGTGAAGAAAAACGTTATATTTGACGCTATCGAATAGTTAGCTTTTACGTTAATCTACGATATTTTAGAAACTCGGTCCAGAGCTTAGCATGTGATAATATTGGGGAAAAAAATCTAATAATTCAATAAAATTGAAAAACTTAACAGAAAACGATGACGTTATGCATTCTTAGAAGTCACCGTTTCGCGTTTTTAGCTAAAAAGAAACCGACATCTTTCTGCGCCATTCCAAAAAATTCTCGGTTGGAGCTCTTCTACAGAAGTGTTAACGATGGCCTGACATTCTTTCACGATAACTACCAATTAACATACTTTTTCCAATACCAAAAATAAAGAATCTGGCTGAAATCGGAATTGGGTGAGAAAATATTATACTTTTCAGTAGATTAAATAGTATGTAATATACGTTCTTTTGTCTAGTTTTCCTTTTGGTTTTCATGATTGATTCACAAACTATACCTAGAAATACAAAGTGTTATCAAAACCGGATCAAAGTGTAGCTTAAACACGCGAAAAGTAAAAACATTATTTCGTAGAATTGCTTGTCATTTTTGTTATTTGGTCATAATATCGTAAAAATTATTGTGAAATTAATATTCAAACTGGTAATACGAGTAGGTCACATGGATTATAGAACAATAGAAAAAATATATTCAAAATTATTGGGTTTCCTCGCACGACAATAATTGTGGCTCTTGTAATAATGAATAAATGGGTTAGATTTCGGTTTTTTTTTATTACGTAGTGTTTGGGACATTTCTTTCATGAAAGTAGGAAATTTTATACGAGTTTTTGTATACTAATGGACAGGGTACCAGTACAGGTATCAAGGGGTGAAACGCTTTGCACGTTGTTGTATGTATGTTGTTTGCAGATGAAAAATAATTCGACTGAGCCAAATCTCACAGAATATCTTCATCGGTTCTGTTCGGATCGGGAAAAGCAACTAAACGAGTTTTCAATTTACGGAATCTCAGATACGAAGTGATTCGTATAATTACTGTTCGCATGGACTCTTGCTACTAGCTCTTATTTGAGAGTATGTATTTAAAAGTATCAAACGCAATGGGTAGATAAAAGATAAACCCGTGCACCGGTGGGAAATTAATACCTGTAATACAGCTATCTTTCTAATCCTTTTCGATTTAGAGTATGGCGAAGGTTTTTACATTATCGCTTACTGGACTTTATTCATATTTTATTTAATGGGATGCAGACAGAAACACAATCAGACCTTCGAAATTTAAAATATTTCACTTGAAGAAATATTAGTTACAGCTTTAACCCAATCCCAATGAAAGTCTGTATATATATACATGTATGTATAAATCTCTTGGCCAAAAGTTAGAAATGGCTATATTCTGCTTAACAGCCTAATGTAAACGATTGAAACTTTGGATAGTACGTCCGATTGGGGCTTTTTAAGGGTGTTCCAGTTAACCTTGGAGAGGATTGACTTTCGGATAGAAGTTATTGGTTTGATATTGAAGAATATCTGGCAATGTCTTGATGGATCCATTGATGGTTCAGCTTTTTATTGCTTTTGTCATGGTGATAATTCTAAAAAAAACTAGTGATACAAAAAATGAATGTGACTTTTGAATCTTGTCCTAACCGACATCCCTATATCACGTGCGAAATAAGGGTGGGGCCAAATTTGTCGAAATTCTGTATGCGCCTGACTAACGAAATAAAATGGATAATACAAACTGTCACATTGCTACTATGAGAAAACATTGACAATTTCTGTACGGTTATTTATATATATAAAATATAAAACCACCCACGTGTAAAACAAAACTTTGCATAATGCTTGGAGAGATTACAAATATTGCCTTTGTTTCAACTATTGAATGCATTCCAGGCTTTCGTTTGAAGTTTGAAATATCAGTTTTAAGTTGCTTTGATAATGGTTTTAGATGAAAATTGACGGAATCTGACAAAGGAAAAAACAACAGCTTTATTAATGACAGCACTGATTCTTATTGTAATTTTTATTTGGAGCTCCATTCCCCCACCACTACCTTTACATATTTCAACTGATATTAATATGACCATTACGCTACTAATAAATGTCATTTGCATCAGGATTCATCAACATATACATGCATATCAAGTTCCGTCAAAATGTCGCTTCTGTTGCGTTTTCAAGCTAAATTTCAAAATTTATGTTAAGTCGAAAGCAAAAACTGAAATCGGTTCAAAATGCTCATGCCTACCAAGTTTCATTAAAATCATAATGATACAAAAACACGTAGCATCTATCGTGTTTTCAAGAAAAGAACGGAAAAGGGCGACGGCACTGCGTCAACATTTCTATATGTTATACTTTTGTCAAGATTTACTTGAAATTACTGTGTATTTATTTTGAAAATATACTATGCTAAAAATCGAAATACATTCTCTGGGACGAACAACAAATGTACACTATACTGATATCACCTCACAAAGCAACATTTCTGTTTCTGTACAGTTATAATTTTACTGTTTAATAATTACTGAGTTATGCCCCTTGTAATGTAAAAGTGTGTCTAATCCTCATTACGAGGCAAAAGCTACAACGTCCAGGCCATTATTAATATCCTCACGTGCAATAATTATCATTAATATTAAGGACGTTTATGACGTAATCTGTAATAACCGCACAACGAAAGATTAACTTTTTACATAACCCTGATCATATCCTTTTCTAGTTGACCATTAAATCTCGAAAGTTATCTGAACTATATGGACTTTAATTATGATCAAGTTCGGCACGACGTGAGGAATAATGTACTTAGACTAAGACAATTTGGGCCAATTTTTTTCATAAAATCAGCACACATCAAAGTGATTCATGGGTGTTATTAGAAATTGGCCAGCCAAAGTCTCGTGAAATAGTGGTCAGAGTTGTCTATTAAAGTTGGTCTCATTTGTTTTTGGTCACAATCGTCCTATTGGTGCATGGTGTTCATTTCCTTCGGCGATGAAGGTTAAGAGACTAATTTGTTTCCAAAAAAACAACAAATTTCTGTCAGATTTTTGAATCAAAATATCATTTAATCATGATAATACAACAGCAAACATTTTAATGGTTCAATTGATACAATGTATATTATTTTGTACAACAATATATGACTAATAAAAAAAAAACAATACATAAGTTAACATGTTACCAATAAAATTTCCAAAAAATGTTTACATCTACATGCATGTGGAAAGCATTTATTAGAAGACAGAAATAAGAAGTCTTTTCCACAATTTTTCAATGTAAATTTCCATAAAAAATATTATTTAAAATTCTCTAAATTTACATGTTTGATTTAGAAAAATTAATTAAAGTCGAATTGAGTAAAAGTGTTCTGTTCTAAAAAGTGCTGTAGTTTATTTAAAGAAATATTTAGCTACTGTAAACATCAGAATTGGTAATGTCCATCCCATAATTATAGCTGATGCTCCTGAAATTACAAGAGAATTAAATTTAATACAACACCGTTTTGTTTTCTGTAGCATTTTTTTTATATACAGTGAAGGAGTAATCCCCCCAAAAAAAAATACAAATCAGCATTAAGGAATCTAATAATATCAAAGGCTTTTTAAAAGTTTTAGAAAACAAGAATTTTCTGTCGATGAAAAAGGGATTTAGCACCAGGTTCCAAATAACAAGAATTGTTTAAAAAAAATCAGGTATCCCTGTGGTATACGGATTTACCAATTTTTCAGTGGCACCAGACTCCCGAGACTGGGGGTACACATAGAGGGCAGACTCACTTAATGGGGGACAACTGTGACCATTTTAAATTGATTCCTGGTAATCATTACTTAAGATTAAAGTATACCATATACCAAGTAAATGAGCAAATACTACCGCTTTAAGATGATATTAAAAAAATCAACATATTCTTCTGCCTGATTTACTTATATATTTGGTTCCTACTATAAACAATTGTTAACTTGTAGGTGTAGTAAGGATTCAGTGGCAACCATTAAAATTATTACTAGTTCCGTAAAATGAAATTAAAACGTACCACAACTTTCATATTTATATGCTGTTACTTGTGCCTTATAAGTCTGGTCGTCTCGTGAACACCCCGCATCTCTCAAACAGGCGAAAAGGGGGGCTTTTTGACTGAAATAAAATCAAATATTATAAAGATCACACTACGTTCTCCTACGTTCACTTTACTTATTTCTTATTTCTTCATAATTTGATGATGTGCCGAAACACCCCTCCTGTGTTGTAACGGTTTGCAAATTTGTCTGAATGACCCACCCTATATCCTAATTTTGCCAGGACAGCTGTGTTAGCCTACTGTCGAAAGATTAGTCTGCTCTTTTTTCTGTCGGGCGAGTTTTAACGAAACGGGGGTCTTTTTCACATGACATTTCTAGGGTGGAAGTGCGCTTATTTCCAAAGTTAAATCTCTTAAATTTCTATATACTCAAAGACATTATAAGACAAATGGTGGTCCTACTGGAACCAGACGTAGTACTTGGCGGTACCATTCCTAATATACAAATAGACAAATTTATACAATTTACTAAGTAAATACAATAGAAACGGTTTACTTACTCGCAAGTTTTGTCCCCTATTAAAAGATCTGTATACTTAGCAGTACATGATCCGGAACCGAAGGCACATTTAATCTCATCTGAAAATACTTGATGACAGGTTACAGCTAAATAATAAAAAAAAAAATATTAAAATAGCCTTAATATACAATATGGATCAAATTTTGCTTGCAAACATACTTCAACTGACAGTGTCATTAATATAATGCATCCAGAAAATGAAATGAAATGAATGGAGTTTTACGTCCTACTTTTCTGTACCATGTGGGCTAAAGAAGACGGGCAACGCCATGCAGGGTGCATTGAGAGAAGATTTGGCAGGACAGTGGCATTAGCCTGCTCTTTTTCGATTCCCAACTGTTGAGGGATCTTTAACGTGCACAGCCTGTAGCACACGGGGCCTCGGTTTATTGTCCCATCAGCCCCTCGTACCTGCATCATTGACCCGGGTAACCGGGTTGAAAAATTCGAAGGTAATATCTCGACCTATGTCGGGATTGAACCCTGGACCTTCAGGTTAGGGAACAAGTGTCTAATTCACTGAGCCACAATAACACAACCAGAAGATTAATGAAATACTTGTCACACGTGAATTCTGGAAACGGTTACAGCCATAAATTCGTATTTAATAAAATATTTAGGCCAAATTTTGAACGTGAATTGTATAAAAGTTGTGTCTGCTAATCCTTGACAGGTTCGCCATCCTTTTGACCAATCGTACCTTAGTCTTAGAAACGGATTTTTTTTTCATTTAAGCTAATCAATATTAGTATTCACAGCTCATCGTCGAAATTTGAACCTTCAAATCCATGTGTGAGTTTTCCGTGTATGAAAGTTAAAATGACGACTCGCTTTTTCTTGAGACTTTGTACGAAATACATACGTAGAAATAAAAAAAATAAATTTCTAGTCTTAGATATTTTTGAAGAAATTTTGCGGTTTTCATACATTTCTGGTACTTCTAAAGACGCATATTCAAGACCTAAATCAACCCCTAAAATGGCAAACCAATCCTTTAAACACGAGCACTCAATGAAAGTCTATAATATTTATATCACTATATATTTGACCCTAAAATAAAGTTTGCTTTGAATCGGATGCTAAATAGCAGAAATATCTTTCATCAAATAGCCTTCAAGGAGTTTAATCAAGAACGTTGCCTTAGTTTAAGCGAGCTCAATTTAGTCATATCGTAAAACTTTCTTGGGTGATATAAACATTTTCATTTCTATCAGATAAAGATAGCTTGCCGGGAAAAATTTCAAACTTTCATCAAGATCCAATAAAAACTGCAGTCTTGATTGTGTCTACAAAATATATGGACGGACGGGACAGGGGCGACAGCAATATACGTCCATATTTTCGTGTGGGTGTATAATAAGGAGGTCTTTTGGAATGTAAATGAGCAACGAGCTAAGTGGAACGAACGCTGGTTTTGCCTTTTTCTTCTAGAATTTATACTATGACATACTCAGATTCAAATGCCCAACAAACCATTGTACAGCACCGTGTAGGCATATTTGTGAAAGTACAGATAATAAGTTATGAGATCTCACATACATGTACCTTAAACTAAATATCAGTTTTCGTGAAAAAAGGACAGTGCTTTTATCTTATCTCTGTATCCTGTATTCTCAAGTATTGGACAGTTTTATCATGCTAGCAATCAAACAATTTGAATAGCGTAATGGCTGATATCATATCAAATATATCCCGAATTAATTGGTTTTCAATAGGATGATTACAGAGTATTAACGGGCTAAAAAAATAAACCCAATTAGGAAAACATGGTCAATAAGTGAATTGAATTATCGTTTAATCCTGTACCGTTTTTTTCTTAGAAATTCAATATTTTTCATGCAGTTTTCTTTGTAATTTTGACCAGGAATAATGGTATCAACTGATTTTTAAACTAATTTAAGATAGTACAGATATATGAACTTTTCTTTTGAAACCCCTATTTGGAATTTTCGATGACAGGTCCTTTACAGTATGTACTTTATTTTGTTATGTAAATGGAAACTATTTTCGATTTTCTAATATCGCAGTGCCATCAATAATTGCCTATTGCCTTTCAGTCTAAGCGCTTTATTTTCTTTAGTCTTGATCATGTTCATAATGGAGTACCCATACATGTGCATTATATATTACATAATTTAAATTAAATCTATGTTTATAATTCTGCATTGAAATATATAAACGAAAAAAGATATAGGTTCTAATCAAGAAGCATACTTACCTAAAATAGCGAGGAAGATGAAGGCTCTCATTTTGGTTATGGGTATAACAGTCGTGTAAAATCCCTTTAGTGGTAAAGACAGAAAGGTGCGCGATTTATGGTGAGCCCCGATTTTATACTCTCCAATTTTAATATTCGTCCAATGAAACTTATGAAACCCTTGGCAACACCTACAATATTTTGAAATGGGGAGATTTTCTTAGCAGGTGATGCGTTGATTATTTACAGGATTGCGACATGACAGGGTTATCGATTGCAAAACCTCAAGATAAAGCATCCTGTTAAGGGGTTCGTTTGAACCATCCCAAAGAAGCCAGTAACGCCCGCTTATCTGTGCAATATCGGTCTATGTCTGTAGTCTATGTTTCATTATAGTTATTCAAATGGTGGATACTAAACAGTTTACCCCATACTTTGGTGTATCACAAATATTATAGAATGGTCTTACAGTATATTTTTACCGGTAGAAATGACGCTTATGGTCGGGAAATTGAGAACAAGTACATTCAGTACTTTGCATTCATTTGTAGACGAATATAATGTTTGTATCTTCAACCTTATGTTTATTGCTAAAGGGGGCCCATTTGCGTTCGGTTGTGAAAAAGAATAGCGGTCATCAGTTTCGAACGCAACTCTCATAGAACTGAGTTGTGAGTGACGCTCGGAAATCATGACCACTTTCATTATTCCCAACTGGCTATCGCTAAGAAAGCGATGTTAAAATCTTATTATATTGAGTTCATCATGACATAACCCCTGGGTGCATAATAATATAAAGTCATTAAAATGAAGAAAAAAAACAAATTTTTTAAAGGAACAGATGCGTCATTTTATTTGACCAATCATACTTTAGTCTCAGAAACGGGAAATTTTTTAGCTAAGCCAATCAGTAATCATGTTCACAACTCACCGTCGAAATTTGAGCCTTCAAATCCATGTGTGTCCAGAATTAACTGCGTTTGAATGTTAAAATGACGAATCGTCAATTTAAGATACTCTGTGATACATAGAAAATAGCGAGTTAAATTCCTAGTTTAAAGTACTTTTAAAGGAATTATGCGATTTTCGTACATTTCTAATACTTCTGAAGACTAACAACAATTATTCAAGACCCAAATCAACCCCTCAAAATGCAGCAACTGTCCCTTTAAAGTGGAGTTTATGTCCTCTTCTACTCTAAATTGGGTGCAGAATATGGGCAACGTCATTTAAGGGACAGATTAGCCATTTTCAGGGACTTAATAATTTCCAGAAGTACTAGAATTGTACGAAAATCGCATAATTTCTGTTTGTCTTTTCTATATAAAACAGATTTTCCAGAAAAGACGAGTCTGACTTTCAAATTTCAACGGTGAGCTGTGAACACTATTACTGAATAGCTTAGCTTAAAAAATTCCCGCGTATAAGTGTGCAATGAAGGAAATTGACAAGTCAATGTCATATGCTTAAATGAAATGGATTTAATTCTGATCACGTTCCTGAAACTTAATACTTGTCTATTTTGAGAACAGTTTGCTAGATTTTTTCTGAAGGTATAGTTTGCATCACATTTCTATGTATCTTTATCAATATTCGCTATAATGGACGTCATGATAGGTCGTCAATGATAATACTAGATAAAACAAAGTTCTTGGTAACTATTTATTTATATACCAAATTTGAGGAGGTATAATTTTGTTTGTTTAGTCAGAGAAATACGACGTATGATCCCGGACATTCATGTTATGACAATTATCAACTATATATCACCTAGTCCGAAACTTAGCGACTCTGACCTAGCTGAAAATCATATATTCAGATATTAGTACGAGGCAAAATATTATTGATCATCAATACATCAATAGTATAATATAACTGAAGTTTGACGGCCTACTACAAAAATAAATATTTATAATATATAGGTTATGATGATTAAATATTCGACTTATTAATACCAAATGAAAAACAAAACATAAGAGAAATTCCCCCATGTCTGTAAGCAGAAAATGATAGTTGCACATTCAAAAAATATAGCAAAAAAAAAAAAAAAAAAAAAAAAAAAAAAAAAAAAAATAAAAACAATCAGTATATAACAGATACTATACTTATACAAACCTTACTTTTCTAATTTCAGATCAGAATAAGAACAGAATAAAACCCCATATCAAGACCCTTAATCCTAATTTCTAAATAAAGTGTCTGCTCCACCCTAGGCCTGTACATTTGGGAGAATCAAACCCTCCCTTCCCCAGAAACCTAATTTTGTGTTTTACTACCATGGATAAATCCTTTTTTTTTTTTTGCCCGACATGGGTACGTTTGTAATAGGAGTGTCCGATTTCCAAAAGATTCCGACTTTAATTTGCAGTTCAAACAATAGTTTAACTGTAAATATGACCTTTAATAAATAATAATATATCATAAATGTGTCTTAATCCGTGCGTCAATGCTATTATCAGTGGCCAGATAGTGTCAACAACGTCTGGACAACGGACATATACATGTAGAAATCAAATAGATTAATATAGCTGTTTGCTGACGAAGCAAAGATTATTATCAGTTTGCAGAGGGAAACATCACAAAAAGCTAGTCACTGAGTGACATGGTAACGGTGCTAAGTGTCACAATGCATAATATTATCTAAAGTATAACAATGTACATAAATATCGATATCATCTTATTTAAAGAGAGTGTGGTCATTGTGCTGCCAGAATCTTAAATGAAACGAAATGGAGTTTTACGTCCCACTCTTCTGCACTGAACCAATGAAGGAAAACGGCCTGAATCTATAATTGGTTGTTGCGTCTAACTTTATAATTAGAGTTGTACCGTCTGCAAAGTATTAATACCTTCGTATTTTTCAACCAGGTTTCCCCTTTGTTAGTGATGCAGGTCGAAAGGGCTGACATGGAAATCGCGGGGCTAAAAACCATAGCTCGTGTGTCACAGGCTGTGCTCGTTACAGATCTCTCGGACAGTTGAAAATTGAAAAAGAGTAGGCTAATACCGCTGCCCTGGTAAAATTTCGTTTGCGTTGCCCGCCTTTGTTAGTTCACAAGGTGCACGAAAGTAGTCTGTAAAACTCCATTCATTTCATCAAAGAAGAATTATTAGCAATTTAGTTTCAATTTTGTTACTTCATTTGCTGTATGGCAGTGCTTTCGCAAAATTACATTACTGCAATGTTACAACCTAGAATTCAATTCTAATTTTAAAGGTTCATAAGGCGTTTTAATTCTTACATAATCATAAAGCGTTTGAAATCTAAACCACAATTGTCGGCGTACACAGGAATATGTGAGCTATTTTGTTCACGAATTTAACAACTACATAACATCAGTTAGTAAACATGTCTACATTTCGCTTGGACGGTACACGTTAAACGGTTTTATTTCGACAATATGTTTTTAACCTAGCCTCAGGCACTTTTCCTTGTTTTCTTTTTTTTGTGTTAAAGATGGATACCGTCAGTTATATTGTTATGAATATCACTCTGGCGCAAATGCAACGCAATCCAACACACGGAAACATCCTGATATAAAATAAGCACACATATCTCAGTATCTATCCAAAGGGGGGAGATGGAATATCATTAGGAAAAAAAAACAAGAATCCAGATATTGAATGCAAAATCTTGGCCAATCACAAACCTGCAATCTGATTATTAAGTCACATTATTGAGCACTCTACCGCGCCCGTTAAAAGATCATATACAAAGCATCTTTTTCTTTATTATAGCGCAAGTCAGTACACCAAAAATGTTTTCATCATTTTTTTAACTAACAAAACAATTACTAAGCTAATCAGCACTTGTAAATGAATAGTCCTTGCTTTTTACCACGGCCCGAGCTTTTTATGAGTTAAATTCACCACCCAAAAATACCCCCCCCCCCCCCTCCTCTCCCTTCTTTAAACTTATGGCTGTTTTTTTCTATTTATTTTTTTTTAGCTGCACAACAAGGAAAATAATTCTTACCAACTAAAAACAACACCTTAAGTAAAGGAGCATCAGAAATAATATATATATATATATATCATAATTATAGTCAAATTGTCCATCATTGATTAATATAAAAAACTAAAAAAAACTGCTTAATATGCAAACATCTTGATCATAAAAAAATCGTTTTTAAAGGAAAATTAGCCATAACTTCTGAGCATCTAAGTAATTGAGTTCACCAAAAAGACACAAGATAACCAGAAAATCATATGACAGTCTGTCCATACAGTTTTAAACAATTCGTCCGTTTTTTATTGCTTTTGGGTATACTATTCTATTTAACTCCAGTTTCAAACTGTGCAACTAGAAGAACTATGGTAGGGTAAGTCATCAAAATATAAATTCTAAGACTGTACACCACCCCAGCTTGAAACAATGGAATACATCAAATTCATTAAATGTATTGTCATGTTTTATGAGTAATAAATCATTTTGTAAAACAATAGACGCCTTTTCATCGATGTTTAAGTGGCACATTTGACTTGGAAAATGGCGACACGTTTAATTTTATTCCTGTGCTTTTTCACTATTGTTTCTTTGGCAGGTAAGCTGAATATAATTAAACAGAAAATTATAATATTTTATTTTTTACGCGTGATGTGCGCAGTAAAATGCATATAATGTAAAATTGAATAATTGTATGCGTAAATTCACGAGAATAGGGCTATGGACCAAAATTCGCTTTACTATTGAAATTACAGTGAAAATACCTCATTTTGGGTTATACATTATTGTGGAAACAAATAGATTTCGTTTGATCCTTTAATAGATTGTCTCAGCAACTCTACAGAAGTCAACCATTGTCAATTAGACAACCCCATACTTGGCTGTTACCGCAATGTCGCTAAAGAGATATTTGATGCTGGTGAAGACGTTGGTAGATACTGCAGGTAAGATAGCTTTGGGACAAGTTATTCTCCATGACATTGTTTGACCATTGCAAAAGATACATGATAGTTGAACACCGTAGTTTGAACGCAAAAACTATATTTCTATCAGCTAGCTTTGTTACAAGTAAATTCTTCATGACATGCCTTAGACATTGGTTTGCCATGGTAAATGATACATATATAAGCTAACAAAGTAGCTTGAACCCTCAAATTCAAATGCATATATAGGTACCGCACAAATACAGAAATGAGGAAAGGTTAACCTATTCTTCGAAAACGAAGATATGTTTTATGTCAAAGATATACCTGGATAATAAAGTAATGAACCGTATCTTGAAATTGCACATTCAGGTTTGTAAAATATTTTAAAGGGCCATCAAAGAATATATGAGCTGTTCAGAGAAAGTTGCCTGTGATTGTCATCTGGGAAATACTGATCTGGTTTTGAGAGAAATAACACGTTATGTTGCAGTTTACAAACATTACAACTGTAGCAAAGGTAAACTTTATGGTTAACCAAACAATTTGCAGTAATATGTTATATTGACCAACATGTTGTATCCTTGCATAAAACGAGATCAAAATAGTATGCCTTCAAGTTCATAGAAGTATATGGCAGATGATTTTATTTTTGAAATAAACACACTTCCCTCCTAGAAATTTCCTGTGAAAATGACCAACCTTTCGCGCTGAAAATTCTATTCTGTAATTCATCAAATTAAAGACAATCTAAGATCAATCAGACTAATTTGTGGGCCTTAGAATGTCACCTTAGAACAACCCGTAAGTGACCAATTATATTCTTATTGCTTGCTTACCACAAGTTACCACTGACATGCTTAATTATGTTAAATGTTTGCCAAATCAACAATCAAGTTATTAATTATATTATTCAGTGCCATTGAAGACTTTTTACCATGTTTTGAGGAAAGTGCTTGTAGCTGTGGACAGACCAATTATATTCTTATTGCTTGCTTACCACAAGTTACCACTGACATGCTTAATTATGTTATACTCTGTTTTAAATGTTATGATTTCGACTGATGTTGGTCACAGATCATAAAGAAACTTTCTATATTTCAGAACTGAAAGAAGATCTACAAATCACCCCTGGTATAACGTGTCCAGGTTAGAAACTTTTTCTAAGTCTAAAATCTAAATTACAATACACATCATGTTGTCACTTACTACTTACAATACACATCATGTTGTCACTTAGTAATTACAATACACATCATGTTGACACACATCATGTTGTCACTTAGTAATTACAATACACATCATGTTGACACTTACTAATTACAATACACATCATGTTGTCACTTAGTAATTACAATACACATCATGTTGTCACTTAGTAATTACAATACACATCATGTTGACACTTACTAATTACAATACACATCAAGTTGTCACTTACTACTTACAATACACATCATGTTGTCACTTAGTAATTACAATACACATCATGTTGACACTTACTAATTACAATACACATCATGTTGTCACTTAGTAATTACAATACACATCATGTTGTCACTTAGTAATTACAATACACATCATGTTGACACTTACTAATTACAATACACATCATGTTGTCACTTAGTAGTTACAATACACATCATGTTGTCACTTAGTAATTACAATACACATCATGTTGACACTTACTAATTACAATACACATCAAGTTGTCACTTACTAATTACAATACACATCATGTTGTTTACTTCATGTTATGTCTGTGGGATACTTCACTAACTTACTGAGTTTTATTTATAATTTAGACTTTTTATTTCGTAGGTGAATCCAAAGACACATACAATATCGATGAAGCTTTGAGGGTGTTATCTTTAGATACATGTAAGTAAACAAACCGTCAAAACGGCAATTTCTGACAAAGGTTTCAAACTGAAACTAATGTCCAAAACATATGAGTAGGAAAAAAAATCAACTTACTATAAAATAATATGTCATATGTTCAAAATAGGTTTCACTATTTTACACGTTTCTATATGTGTAGGTCGTATACAGTAGAAAGTGCAAAAACAAAAGAGAAAAATCAACGACGAAGAATTGCAAAAAGGCAAAAGACCAAATTGTTGCTAGTCAAAAAGAACACCAAAGAACACATTTACAATGAAAATTGAATCTATTTCAGTACCAAATGTAGGAATATTAAATCAGCATTGTGTTGGTATGAAAACGTGTTATAAGACGCTCAGTGATGCAAGCAGTGTAGCTCTTTACTCGAAAAATTTAACTGGGTTTTGCAGGTAATCAATTAAACAAAATATTAACCATAAAATTGATTGAAGCCGACCTCAGATCCATTGAGTGTGTGAATATTTGGTGACATCTACGTAGTAGAAGAAATGATTCAAATATCTTTGAAGATTTCTGAGAAAAACATAAACATTGTAAATCTTAAGTTGTTGGTTTTAAATGTTTGCCAAATCAACAACCAAGTTATTAATTCTATTATTCAGTGCCATTGAAGACTTTTTACCATGTTTTGAGGAAAGTGCTTGTAGCTGTGGACAGAGTCAGAATATGACCTTTGTTCTAACAATTGCAAATGAAAGACAAGCTTACAATGGATATTGCAGCATTTGTAAGTCCTTTTCCCCTTAGTTACTTGACGAAGATAACAATTATGATATAAATATAATTATATTAATGATATAAAGGAGCATAGGGACGCTTGAAGCATGATGTAATAAGACAGGATATCAGATCAACATACAATAATTTAGTAACAAGTTGAGATTATTCTGAATGCCAAGTAGTCTCCTATTCGTGGGCTATCCATGTCGATAACAGAATGGCGTTTGAACTGCAAATATTAAATAACTTATGACCTTTAATTCCTTTTTTGAGACCATACGTAAATCACCCTGCATCTCTGAATATAGTCTAAGAGAATTCAAACAACGAAATTGAAACTTAACTGTGCAAGTATAACATTACCAGATCACCCGCAAATATACAACTGTCTTTATGGATCGCCTTCCACACATCATATTCCAAACTAACTTCATTTCAGTAACAAAGGGGGTATTCTATGAAGCTGGAATCAAATGCCCAGGTATGTAAATTGAATATTCAACAACTACTGAACCATTGTAAAATATTTAACACTGTGAAACAAGCATAAAAGTTTTCTGTAAATTTGGGGGCTGATAACGACGTACATCTGTCATGTTTCACAGGGTTGTAGCCATTATTTCCGGGTATCTTCGGGAAGAAGTTGGGATCTTCAATATACCGTACCTATTTGACAGCACAGCCTCGGTTTGTCCCATTCGAACAACTTTAGGCCTATGTCTTTACTGCCTATATATCCAAACATGACAGGGATAAAAGCGGATAAACGTAGTTTTACAGCCTTTTTTACAACTTTCTTTTAGCTATCACAGATATTTGTGAACAAGAAAATCCTATTTACGACTGTTTTAAAACGTTTATAAAGAAAGTTCGTCCTTTTCGAACAGATCGATCGAAATCTTGTCCGTAAGTAATTCTTACAGTTTATAATTTATATTTCAAAATTCCCTCTAGGACATGCACACTCGAACCCTCCTCATGCTGGCACAAAAACACGAAGTGCATGTGTCATGTGACTTTACTTCCTTGACGACTAAGAAAATAGGTTTTAAATAGGCCCCAAATAACATATCAAATGGGTTGGAAAATTTCCAAATCGTATTCAATAGCTGAATAAACAGTTTTAAAACATGTTGAAATGAATTAAGTCATGCTGCAATATTAACATAATACTTCATTTCAGAGCATATAAGGAATATATCAAATGTACAGAGAACATGGCTTGTAAATGCGGTTTAAGAAATTCTGTTCCTGTATTGCACAGTTTAAAATCCTCTTTTGTTGGTTATGAGAAAATGGGTTGCAATAAAGGTATTTTAGGCAGTATATAGAGTTTGTAAACTTGGTTGGAGTACCAATTTACATGAACAAGTCGTATTTGCATGTATAATATTCTCGCACAAATGGCCATTAGTTCCTTTGTGTTCACGAGTTGCAGTAGCAAACTAGATGTAAGACCATCAGAACAGATGTTCAATTCTAACGGGAAAACTATGAAATATGTATTTTGGGCAAGTCTTTGCTCCTTTTATTCGAAATGCAGGAGTTGTTCGAAAAAATAACAGTAAAATTTAGCATTAGTTTTTATGTGATGAAGTACATAGGGCCTATATTGAGTTCACTACTATGAAAGTGGCGAACCACTAAAACTGCTGGTTTTCTTCATGATTTGGGCTATATAATTTCAGAGAGTGGAAAGTTAGATCTTCAATTCGGTGCCAGTTGTCCTGGTAGGTATTTCTCACAACTTTTCCCGATTCTCTACCAATTTCTGGCATTTTAGAAACGGTTCAGTAACTTACCGTGATCACGAAAGATATACATTTTAAAAATAATCGACAGAAAATAAATCAAAACGGAATAAAAATGAAATGAAGTTATACGTTCTACTTTTCTGCACCATTTGGGCTTATGAAGACGGGCAACGCCATGCAGGGTGCAATGAGGGAAATTTTGCCAGGACAGAAAATTAAAACGAAAATGGCAAAAGTAGGCTAAGGGTGTTTGTTTAAGGGAATTGGAATTTTCGAGCATATATGTAAAAGATATACATTGAAGACAATTGCAAGGTTTGAAATACTACAACCTTCGGAACATCCTTCATCATCTGTCAAATGCTAAAAGCAAGAACAGCACCATGTTTCATCTTATTTGCCAGGTCTTCTTATCAATTCTTTTACGTATTTTTCAGAGGGTTCACCAAACTATGGGAGTAAGGGTAACGAAGTTGTAACCAGTATCGGATTGATGGAAAGTAAGTGGAAAATTTTTTAACTAAACAATATTTTGTGACGTCTGATTATACATATATTAATTCACACTATTGCCGTTCAAAACTGAGACTTTAATTGGCCATTTTTTCTCGTTCAAGATGATATGGTTTTGGCTGTGATTGAACACTGTGAAGCCTTGAAGCCATGTTATTTTCAATTAGATAGTAGTACAGCTAAATCATTTTATAAAAAAGAAGTAGATGCTATGTGTCAGTAAGTACAAAGGCCTAATCTATCCAATAGTCGTTTAATAAGATTTAAGAGAAAAAATGCATGTATTCGCTTTTGAATAATAACGATGCTGAATGCACAAGTATATGTATTTATCAATTTTACTAAGTAAATAGCATATTTTATATTTATTTCTTCTCACTTATAATTTACAACATTCATAATAATGAAAAGGTTTGCATAACGCCCTTCTTTATATACAATACCTTTACAAACAATGTTTCAGAGCTCAGAGTGATTTTATCAAATGTGCTGAAAAGGCTGGATGTACTTGTAACAAGTATAAAGATACCAACTTTATATTGTTTTTAATCAAACAGAAATATTTACATCAACAGACTTGTCCACAAGGTAAGAAGTTTGTCATTATGACGTGGAATCTTGCACTATCTTCCATGACTTGGTGTAAGAGACGATGCTGTAAAACCCCAAAGTTGAAAATATTCTGGCATAGAAAATACTTTTAAGGCATCTCAAATTCTATTGATAACTGACACTGAAAGTGAATCTAACTTGATTCAGATTGAAATTATACTATGAAGCACAAGCTACCAAGCTACTTAAACAAAAAGTTCACTCGGAGGATGCTTTCATGAATGTCCAGCATGCCAAACAAATTAACAAATTCCGCTTTGTCATCTAATGGAACAACTAAGTAAGTAATATCAGAGGTCAAAATTCAAAGTCAAGACAGAATGCGAACAAAAAATAAATGGATGCAACCCAATTTAACAGTTAATTGTCATCTCATTTCCATCCCTTGACCATGTATGTGACCAGAATGTCTGTAAATTCACAGTTTTTAATGTAGAATATGCAGCTTAGAGCTACCAGAAAAAAAGTCTCACCGCTGGTATAACAGGAAACAAATACAATCAAGGCCGCGAATAAGTTAAAATACTATATGAATATCATAGTCACTTTTAAATTTTAAACCATTTATTTATATTCATATTTCAGACATAAGAGTTATGAAAAGTTTCAAACCGAAGTGTGGTAAGTGTTTTTGAATCTATAGTGAACAAATGAAACAAAATTTCTTTTAATCGCGTCCAGTTTTCACCTTTTAAAAATATATATATACAAAGTAATTCGGTGCATACTCTCAATTTAATAACAAAATGATTTTCTCCCATATTTAATTGCAACAGCATTAAGTTGATCTTACACGGCAAATTTTGCACGAGTTACTTTATTATCTATTAAAAGGCCTAGTTACCAAATGAATATATATGTCAAGTTCTCGTTCAGTCAAGGTAAATAACACTAATGAAGGTACAAGTATCAGGTTTCGTTCTGTGTGCTGAGCCTCTGAAAGCTATTTAGACAGATGTCAGCTGGTGTAGAGACAGACAAAATAGGCCCTTATAAATGGGTTATTCCGCATCTCCGCAGATTCGGGGGTTTTAAACCTATTTAGATACCTAAGATCTGCAAAACTTATGACACTTACTTTATAACTAAATTATAACACTTACTTTATCTTTATAACTAACTTATAACACTTACTTTATAACCAACTTATAACTCTAATTTTATAACTAACTTAAAACACTAATTTTATAACTAACTTATAGCACAAATTGTATAACTAACTTATGACACTAATATTATAACTAAATTATAACACTAATTTTATAACTAACTTCAAACACTAATTTTATAACTAACTTTTAACAGAAATATTTTAACTAACTTTGCCTATAACAGGAAAAAATAATTAAAATTTTTTGATTTTCAAAATAGACGGTATCAAGTTACAATTTTATGTTAAAATAGGAAAACTAAAGCTAAAAAATTTAATTTTTTTTTAGGTTCACAGTCCATCAACAAAACTTCAACTGTACCATGTATTTTAATTGTCTTCATACTTTTTACTCTTTTCTTTCAATAAATTCATTTACATCATCATTACTGTACGCTTTTAAATGTGTCTTTAGACAGTAAGAGCTGTGTTTTATTTCTACAGAAAAATATATGCAAACACACACACGAAGGATCGTGAAAGGGTAATATATAAAAAATAAACTGGCTTAAAGGGAAATTTAGTGTAAATAAAAGATAAAATATGTGTCAAATGTCGTATAACATGTCAGTAAGTCAATCACCTATACTGGTAAAGTCAGTCCACAGCGATATAGACCCAACTGATCCGTCAACATCAATAGTGTTTATGATACAAATCTCAACATCAGACTATATATAAAGTTTGAGTGTCATAAGTCATATGGAAATTGAAAACTATAGCTTTACAATTGTTTTAAAAAAATGAAATATCGGTAAAACATTTAATAACCCTCGTCTCTCTCCCCACCCCTTTTATAATAAAATTCTGATTTAAAAAGCACAGGATTGATATGAAAAAAAAAAAGAAACATCGCCCTTTGACCCAACAGAAGCATACAAATGTCTTCTCTTGACACCAACTTTGTGCAGATAATCATCTGTCATTGTTATTCATCACAATAAAATTCTATCAACTCAAGACCAAGATATTCTTTTAAAAAGACCAATTTTACCGAACAGACGACAATTTACCACCTCATCATAGCAGCTTTGTTTTGTTTTTTTTTTTTTTTTTTTTGTATTGGAAGCCTCCTTATTTTATTATGTCTTGAAGTTTTGTTTGGTTTTTGTATTGGTAGCCTCTTTTTTTGTGCTTTAAAATGTTTTCTTTTTGAAAATTCACGAAAAATTATACTCTTAAACATATGAGTTGTAATTTAGCCTACTGTTTGTTGACAGAAAGTGTAGTGTGTTGTGTTTGGTTTTAAAACAAAATGGCTTACCTTCAGGATTACGAACATTGTGCTTATTGGTACTCACTGTCCAAACACATTATTGTTCTTAATTGGCCAGATCCGTACAAATGTTATTCTTTTAACTGTCAACAATAACACGTTGTCAATTATATGCACGCGTTGTTTTGACACACACAAAAATGTACCTTCAACACAATCCAACTCGTTATGGAGTACAAGCACGTGCAAAGTAACGCTGACGTCTTGTTTTTTAAAACGGATGTATTTTCGTTTTCTAAAGTTACGTCTTGTACACTTTTAATTACAGTTTAAAGTTAAAATGCAACAATTATATCTGAACTTCACCGAAATAGTTCGTAAAATTCACAAAATACTTAGAAAGACACAACATAAACAAAAGTCATCCTCACTCAACATCAGGCGAACGTGCTTTGCCAAATATGTCGGTGGAGTCCATTTTGTCGAAAGGGGGGATGGGTTGGACATTTCCAGGTGTTTCTGGACGGTCAAGTTTTACGTTGTGATAAGTTATTCTAATAAAAGTAGCAACCAAAAGAAAATTTTCCATATAATCATTCACTCATAAATCTGTATTTGAATGGCTGATTGAGGAACATCATATCAGATACTCCAAAGCAAGTATTACTCTCTTCTAGTTGCGTTCGATGACAGTATCCAGATCAGAATATCACTTGATTCTGGACAACACTTGGTTCCGCGTTCAGTAAACTAAGCAGTTTCTAATTTTCAGAAAGCGGCGAAAATTCAAACTTGATCTTCGTTTGATGTTTGTGTGGTGTTTACTTCTGTTTAAATGTGAACAGAACGATGGCCGACCCACATAGGTGCTGACAAACTACTTCCATATATGGTCGAGGTGTATGTATACTATAAAAATCATATGGCAAAAAGTAATAATTGAAATTTCGAAGTTAATAGTTTGTATGTAGTGAATTGCCAATCCGTTCCTCGAACATTATTTATGAATGGTTTATCGGCACGTTTAGATGATGATATCGGATCTGTATAGGACATCCGAGGAACGGATAGGACAAGATTTAGGGCGAGGAAGTTAATAAAGGAACATAGTTCAGGAGTTAGTTATTGTGATAATAGAGTTTACGAATGAAATTAATAAGAGAACAGAGTTTAGAAATTAAGTTAATAAGAGAATAGAGTTTAGAAATGAAGTTACTAAGAGAACAGAGTTTAGAAATGAAGTTACTAAGAGAACAGAGTTTAGGAGTTAATAAGAAAATATAGTTTGAGAGTCAATAAAAGATATAGAGTTTAAGAATTGAGTTAACAAGAGAATAGAGTTTAGAAATGGAGTTACTAAGAGAACAGAGTTTAGGAGTTAATAAGAGAATAGAGTTTAAGAGTTAATAAGAGAAGAGAGTTCAGGAATGGGGTTAATAAGTTAATAGAGTTTAGAAATGGAGTAAATAAGAGAACAGAGTTAAGGAGTTAATAAGCAAATAGAGTCTGGGAGTGAAACAATTTTGTACAATCTGTTTTTAAATGAGAGAAGAGTTATCCATATATCTCAAAGAGGTATTGGCCTTCAATTAAAAGTTGATTGACATTTTTATAATTTATTCACAAAATATACATATTCTATATTCATACTTAACAATGATATGGGTGATAAGTGTTTTAATATTCAATTTACATATTACATAAATTAACAAATATTGACCTGGGCATAAAGGGATTATTTTAAAAAAATCTGAGTTTAAAATGCAAATTGCATTCGTTTCAAGTTTTTATCTCACTTTATTTGCCATCGGCAATCTGACAAAATTGTTATGTTTGTTTTGATCATTCAATTCAACCAATCAAATTTGCTGTTTAGGAAAATTTCCTTACAATATGTGAGGAATTTTAGGATATTCATTGCTAAACATTGACTTATATTGCCTTGCAAGAAAACAGGGTTCTCGATGCTATTTGGTCAAAAGTTCCACAGAACAGAATTTGAAGAAGAATTTTATCAGATCAAAGATGGCAAATGTAATAACTAGTAAAAACCATACAGTATTGAAACGTAATAAATATATGAATAATTATATGTGATAATATTCATGTGCATGGAGGTATCATTGAGTTCATAACATTTGTTTAAAAAAAAAAAAAGGGTGTGACAAGTTTTGATATATATAATCAACATATATATATACATCACATACATACAAATATTATGTGAAATATTCGCATTAATAATCAAATTACTTTCATTTGCGTGAAATACTTACATTAAGTATATTAAATCATGGAAGTGTCATCAACATATATTATCATTTTTTTTTTCCTATTTTTTTTTCAAACATGGAAAATATATATACAAAACCAGTTTTGTACATATACCACTTTGTTTTTAAATATATGTGCAACTTTGCTATACATAAAAAACATGTTTTGTTTTTTTGTTTTTAAAAATAAGTGCAACAGTTAACAAAAACATTTTAAGCTTTGCTCTGAACACATGTGTTAACCAAATTTGTATTTTTTTCCCCTAAAACCATCTTGATTTATGTTTTATGAATATGTAAAACTATAATTTCAAAATATTTATAAGGTTTCTTCCAAAAAGTGAAATGTTTCTTTTCAAATAAAATTTATCTGTGTTTTCAAAAACAGCTATCAGTGGTATTTTAGATACACATAATTTATCTCATGTACATATCTAATGCGATATCAGAAATGTATTTTCTGAAACATAATGATAATGCAGATAGCTGAAATTTAAGTTTAAAAGGATACTACCTCTTAGAATGGACATAAAATTTAAAGTCTCAAACTTGGTCAACAAGAGTATTTATTCATCAGTTGGACTTACCAGGTGTCATGACTAAAGAATAGAATCTCTATATAAGACGTTATATCCATTAAACTAAATAATTATTGTAACAGATTTATATATGCTAAATATGGCTGTGTCTCATTAAAAGATGACTCGTCTTTTTAACTTTCATATGCAAATAATTCTGGACACACATGGATTTAAAAGCTAAAATTTTGACAGTGAGCTGTGAACACTATTACTGATAAGCTTAGCTAAAAAAAATCCAGTTTCTGAGACTAAAGTATGATTGGTCAAAAAGAATGGCGCATCTGTCCCTTTAATGTCTTAAAAGTGATAATGAATATGCTCCCTTTGCATCACAGGCAACCTAATATCATTTAATTGAAGCCTGAACAAGAATATCCAGTCTGATAGTACTCTTAGTACACATATTTTGCAATATTGACATAATCGGTTGTGTTACATTGTCATATCTATGCTGAAAGAGATTCAGTTATTATTTTATCAACATTCATGTTAGCGATTGGGAAATAACCAAATATGACCTCACCCAGATTAGGCTTATTGCGAAATGTCTTCAAAAATATAATGCTGTATGATGATATATGTCAACAAAATTTCCTTTGAATTCACCATTGTATAGTATTTTTCCAAGCATTCGAATATGATCTTCTTAAATCAAGACGAGTTTTGTACACATTTCATATTCACATAGATAAAGTATTATTTGCCTGAATCTCACCAGGAAGAAAATGAACAAAAGACATCTGCTTAGGCTAGGATAAAGTGTTTAAGTTTTAGGAGATAGAAGCACTGACCTTGGTCAATGTTTCAATATACAAATAAAATATTGCAGGTATTTATTGAGCAATAGTTTAGTGTGATTCAGAGTCAGAAATTTTGCGTGGATACTTATTTGGTTTTGAAAAATGAAGTACAATCTAATAATTAACACAATGTACACATACATAAATAAATAATAATATAATGACTTATAAAATAATTAACATCAATAATATTTTATATAAATATATATTAACATAAATTTAACAATAATCATAATAAGCTTTTAAACATTTCATAAATTTACAAATATAGGTCTTTTTTGGTTTTCTTATTTTTCTTAGCCAAAGTACTCTTCAGAATGCTTAATGTGTTGATTAAATCAATATATTATTTAATTGTAGACAAAATTTCTCAAGACTTTATCTCTGGAAAGTGTTACAGGTAATTTAATCGATATATTATTGGATTGTAGACAAATTAATTCTCAAGACTTTATCTCTGAAAAGGGATGCAGGTAATTTAATCAATATATCATTTAATTGTAAACAAATTAATTCTCAAGACTTTATATCTGAAAAGGGCTACAGGTAATTTATATTGATTTTTAGGCAGAGAAGTGGAGGAAATTTGCAATATATATTGTGGATGTGTTTTCTCAGTGCAAGACTCAAAGAGTAATAATCTTTCACAAACAATATCAAAACTAACACTTGTCCATAAAGTTGCAATTTTTATTTTCTTTATTGCATTTATTAAAAAGTGCACAAATATGTAAACACAAAAAACGGGATTTGGTGTATGAAAAGATTATCAGGGCACATAACTAACATAACTGCTCATGAACAACTGACAAACTGTTCATGAACAACTGACAAACTGTTCATGAACAACTGATAAACTGTTCATGTACAAATGACAAACTGTTCATGAAGATTTTGGATTTTGATATTTCTATTGAATTTTCAGAAGTATTTTTTTAAATGAAACTGATTGTGAACACAGGACATTATCACACATATCACATTACATAGGGTTGTATCATATATATGGAATCACCATTAAAGGTGATTTAAAGAGGTTTTCTTTTTCTTTTGTACTTGTATCAGAGACACTGATTGCACCAATTTGCACCATTCCAATTTTAAGTCATACGTCTGTGGTTCCTGCAATTCCACTAAAACTTTGGATTTTCTGCTTGCATTACATAAGGCCCTTCGCGATTAGTGAGGTAATCAAACATCAGATTTATTGGAATTGCAGGAACCACAGACGTCTGATTGGAAATTGGAATGGTGCGAATTGATGCTATCCGTGTCCCCGATACACATAAAAATTTTAAAAAAACCTTTTCACAATCCCTTTAATGTCACATCACATTGGATAGTATCATTTCAATGTGAGGCATCACCATGAATATCACACTACATCACATCATTGTGATATGACCATAAATGTGACATCACAATACATATCACATCACATTGGGCTGTGATAAATGCTTCACATAATCAAATACATCAATTTCAATCAACATACGACATGTGATACAACAACAATATCACATAGATCCAATCAAATGAATGTGAACATCACATCACAACATATTATGGTGTGATAACTGTTTATTAATTATTGAGTGGCATTACGAGTCAAAAATCAAAAAAATAAATAAATTTCCACAGTGTTAATGAACACATATTTAGCCTTTGGTCCACAAACAACTTTTGACCTATTGTCTTATGAAAAGTGTGTTAGCCTTGCTTCTTTTCCTGATCCTCTTTATTCTGCCGCCTGATGGACACCAGCTTGTCACCCACTAGGTAATAATAGAAAAAACTGGTTAAAGCTGCAAACAACTGACATCCCATGTACAGATTTCTGTTTTCAGAGGTTGAATTGCTGTCTGATAATAATACATCAACTGAAGAGACTGAAAAAAAAAACAGGATATTATAAGAGTTTGGTTAACAAATCAAAACCTTTACTTCAAATAAATAAGTCCTTTCATAATATAAGCTTAAAAGTTATTTGGAGTCTTTTTTGCACTAATTTCCACTGTTTCTGAAATTTCGGACAAATCTCAAATGAAATGAAATAAAGATCGTGAAGAAGTGAGGGTGATTTTAAAGTAAAAGTGAAATAAAAGAAAATTTAATCAGCAAATTAATCTAAACTTCTTGAAAAAAAATAATAATCTGACAAAGACATTTATGTAGAACCAAATTCCATTTTTGTGGTACAACCATACAATAAGTGTTTAGGTGCACGATGTGAATATACTGGCATCTACATAAATATCTATTGCTAAGAAAATGATTTAATTTCAACTGCTCTGGTCCAAAAAAATTGGAATATGAGCATTCATCAAAACAATCTAGGCAGTATTTTCATTATAATATTTGAATTCATTCAAGCAAAAAAAAATTCATTTAAAATTTTTGAAATAAAATAAACACATCCTTTCTTGAAATTCATTTGGAATGTTTCTATTTATTACTTAAATATGAAAAAAAATATGAGAAATTATTTTACTATTGATCTAACAATGCATTGACATATTTCAGCCTTTTAATATTTTCTAAGGTTCTAGGGATATAACTGTCTTTATATTTGATTTACCAGCTGATGACATTGCCATATATTTAGGATCTTAAACGAGTGCTTATGTCTTAGGAAATGAGTTGCCAGATATATTTAATTTGGCAACAACTTTCATATAACATAAGCGGTCTTCACAATAACAGTGACAAATTCTATTTATCACACAACTATCAATAAATGTATATTTTCCTTTAAAAGTGTTTTTTTGAATTTTTCCTATCATTTTTAAGAGCATTGGAATAGCAATCTAAAAATAGTAGTGTTAGTCTAAGAATGTCTTTGCATTGATAAAAATATAAACATAAGCACACATTATTTTTCAAATTTTGTTTTTACAGAGGGCAATTACCACCCAAAATTTTGGACTTTTTAGGTTGAAATTTCTAGGAGAGAAATGTGTTTCTTTTCAATGTAAACTTACAAAAGATTATAATCTTAACACAAAGACATTCTAAGACTAACAGTACTATTTTTAGGTTGATATTCCAATTCTCTTCCAATAAAGAATAAATTTTAAAAACTTTTTGCATTGCCCAGACAATAATTTGTAAAGCTATCAAACTATGATTTTATGAACCTGTGTTATGAAGTTGTGACCAAGGTTGTTTATAAAGTATTTCAACTGGTAAAACAAATATTTAGACGACTATATGGCTTAGATTTAGGACTACATACATTTCATGTTAAAGTTACTCAGGGAAAGGTTACAATATTCATGCAAACACATGGTTAAAACACATAATACATTTACTATTAAAGACATTCTGATTGCTTTGGCCACAGTTCATACATGGTAACCATGATCATGGTGGGATTGAGACCATAAAAACTCCTGAATGGTATACAAATATATACCCAACTATATTCAAAATATATTTTTTCCCCTTCCTTTGTAGAGATTCTATGCCAAGTTTTCACCAGTTTTTAAAGGGACAGGTGTGCCATTTTGGGGGGTTGGTTTTAGTCTTGAATATGTGTAAATAGTCTTCAGAAGTACTAGAATTGTTTAAAATCACATAATTCCTTTAAAAATACTTCAAACTAGGAATTTTACTCACTATTTCTATATATGTCTTTTCTATATATCACAGAAAATCTTACATTAACGAGTCTTCATTCAAACACAGATAATTCTGGACACACATGGATTTAAAGGCTCAAATTTCGACGGTAAGCTGTGAACGCTATTAATAATGATTAGCTCAGCTAAAATATTCCAGTTTCTAACACTAAAATATGATGATTGGTCAAAAAAAAGGTCCCTTTAAAAGCTATTCTAATTAGTGAGTTCATGAGCATTTCAGGTTTCGTTTTGGGATCGTAAGTTCTAAGTTTTCTATTAATCATATCTTGTCAAGTGTGAATTGGTTTTACAAGCTGATAGTTCAATAAAAAAATTCCTATCCGGTATATGTTGGTCTTTATAGCTGGCCATCATCTAATTCCATCTCCAAATTGTCATGTTCTACGTCGTCAAGTTTAAGATTTTTGATATTTTTTTGGTTAGAAAAATTTTGAACAACAAATAAAGAAATTAGGTCATATTGCCTACAAGTATAATAATAGCTTTTACCAAAGTACTTTTTTTACCTTTAAAGAGATTTTTGTGAAGAGTATATGAGCTTGACAAAAAATAATTTTTGTTTTAAATGTTGAAAATATAAATATAATTTTTGCTAAATATATTGTTTATTTGATGTTCATGGTGAAGGTGGTTACTGTTTGATGTTTGAAGAAATATCATTGTGATGCACTACCTAACTGACTTCAAAGACCACAGGATTTTTGCCTCATAGAAAAGACACTAATATTGATCCAGCCTTAATGTAACTTCCGTTCGTATCAGTTAAATATAAACCACCAGAAAGCAAATATCAAATACAATGAAAAAAATATTTTTTGGTTCAATTTGCAATTGATTTTCTGACGAGCATAAATATATAGATTTGAATACACTTATCATTAAAGAAAACATCCACAAATCTTATCCTATTATTATTATGTCTGTACATATGCCAACAAAAACAAAGTTTGATGAAGCCATTACCAAAAGAAATATTTATTTTTAATAATCTGTAACTTTTTTTTTTTTTTTACTATGAAGAGGGCCTGCATCAAAATAATACTATGCATATCTGTGTTTTTGAAAGCAGGTCTAAAAAGAAAAAGTTTTTATTGAATCTACCACTAAAGTGAATCAAGGCTTCATTTTATTTTGGTAGATCTGAAACCAATCTAAGTTCATGGACATGTGACATATATTTCTAAACTCAAGCAAGAAAAGTCATGCTTTAACTGAATAACCCAACAATCATTCATAAAAAGGAAATCAATATCTAACAGGTCATGCAACCGAGCAACAATGTTAATTGTATTATTAAATATTAAAAAGTAATATTATTAATGGAATTCAATCAAAATCTCAAATCCTACTGTGCATCTAACATTGGTGGTAATTGTGGGGAAGAATGCTTCAGGCTAATAGGTAACATTCAATTCTAAATCTACTCAAATTTCTGGTTGGTGGTAAGGTTAAATTTCTTTTTGGAAAAATTGTAAAGATAGAAATGTTTAAAAACTGAAAATGCATGAAGCTGAATTAAGCAAACATGAAGAAAACATGGATTTGTGAAAAACTTAATTATCATGCAGACGCAATAAGCGTAAAAAATAAGGGCAAAAAGAACCAATGAAAACCGTCTGCACTTACACATTTGAACCAATCAGAAATTAGTAACAGTAGCGATAATCTTTGCCTCTCCAATCTCGATTACTAACACTCCAGTAGAAATAGGCACTGAACACGATGAGAACAAGCCGACAGCACATCAGAACTAACGGACTAACAGGCAAAATATCACGAACAGGGAGGGAAAAAGCTGAAACTGCAAGGCATGGACACGTTTTAATAACTATATCTGATACAAATTTTATATTCATTTCATTATCAGGCATTTTTGCTGCCAGCAAACAGAAAATTTTACATCAGCATTTCTCTGTTCATCTGTTTTCAAACTGCACAACAGTAATTTCTGAGTGGTCTATAAACGCATTAACAGAAAAAGGGCGTTTATAAGAATGGTATTGTTTTAAATTTGAAAAAAACATTTATCTTATTCATAGAAAATATTGAAATCATGGTACACACAAACACTTAAACAAACATAAAGATTTCACAAGAAATGAAGAAATGAAATAAACATGCTTCAAAAAGCAAGCACTTTTTCATCAAATTAAAAGAAAAGAGTCTACTTAAAATCAGATATAAACTAAGGTCCATTCCAGAAAAAAATGAGAAAAATGTATATGTTTAAAAATTTATGATGAATATTCGATCTATTTGAAGGAAATATTACATGTTATTGAAAATGGTAATACTAAAATGTTTAAACATGGAAATTTATACGGCAGCCGGTGCCAAATCAGTTCCATCGCATCTTTTCAGAAGTGTATCACTTGTATTTACTTGCTTTCATTGTTATGAAATAATATACTTTAACAATGTCCCCTCTTTCTGTATTCCTTAAATAAAATCATACATTGATCTTTGGCAAAACATTATTGAGATTCAATTAATTAATTTTTTTAAATTCATCAGAAGTTCATGCAAAATATCTTCTTCTGTGCCATATTCCTTCACAATCTAAGTATACAAATTTTACCTAGGAACCTATCAAATCCACAACTCAGGGCACAGAATTCTCTTATAGAAATATACCAAGGTTCATCAAAATCAGATAGAAAGCTAAGGCCACATGTGGCACAGAGTGCAAATTTGCATGGAAATCTGAAAAAAATTAACCTTCTAGACTTATTAGGTCATGTGCTAAAACAGTCAAAATTTGCAAAAAAAATCTTATACGTCAGAATCCCAATATGAAAGTATCAGCAGATTGCCAAGGTCAATGACCTTAGACCTTGTAATATAGGTAGAATAGAACATTTTTACAGAAGGGAATTAATACTAGGTACACGTATTTATAATTTATATATTTATATAATCATATTTATATTTATAATCGAAGTAGCAAAATATATACACAAGATATATAATATATGTAATTGTTTGAAAACACTCTAGCATATATATTTTATATATTTTCATATATAATAATTGATATACCTACAGAATATACAGTTGATATACTGCTTATTAGCTTATTAAACATTTTTTATTGCACCTTAGAAAAAAAAATTGGCCATAACAAAAATACACTAAACAACATTCACTTAGATATAATATATGGTTATATTTTTACTCACCGATCATTTGAAGAGTGAAATAAACAATACTTGACAGTAATGCCATGCGTATTATTTCACGATCTGAACTTTGTAATGTACCCCAATACACCAGTGATAAACCTGCAGTGAAAATAGTGAAAAATATTTCTTTTAGACCACATTCAAAGTTAAAAAATGTGAATCATGCTTAAAAATTTGCATCAAATTCCATCTTTAGGAAACTTGGTATGCATGTATATATTGATAAGATCTATGTCAAGCATAAATTTGGTGATAATCAGATGAACTCTTTTGGAATTATTGCCCTTGGCTTAGCACAAACATCTAAAATTCAGCTTATAGACGCTATAGCAAAAGCTCAATTCCTCACACAACTTTCTTGTTATACTGAGAAGTCAAAATATAATAAATATACTTACTGAGTATTACTGAGTAATGGCCAATGTGTATTATATTATCTACTTGTAATACGGAGCCAAATGTTATAAATATTCTTACTGAGGAGTATTACTGAGTAATGGCCAATGTGTATTATGTTATCTACTTGTAATACGGAGCCAAATGTTATAAATATACTTACTGAGTATTACTGAGTAATGGCCAATGTGTATTATGTTATCTACTTGTAATACGGAGCCAAATGTTATAAATAGTATTACTGAGTAATGGCCAATGTGTATTATGTTATCTACTTGTTATACTGAGAAGTCAAAATATAATAAATATACTTACTGAGTATTACTGAGTAATGGCCAATGTGTATTATGTTATCTACTTGTAATATTGAGAAGTCAAAATATATAAATATACTTACTGAGTACTACTGAGTAATGGCCAATGTGTATTATGTTATCTACTTGTAATACTGTGAAGTCAAAATATAATAAATATACTTACTGAGTATTACTGAGTAATGGTCAATGTGTATTATGTTATCTACTTGTAATACTGAGAAGTCAAAATATAATAAATATACTTACTGAGTATTACTGAGTAATGGCCAATGTGTATTATGTTATCTACTTGTAATACTGAGAAATCAAAATATCATACTTACTGAGTAATGCTGTACCATATAATCTAATTGGTAATGATAAATATTTCCCCTCTTCTGATTCTAAGGTGATGTCAAATAAATGAGATGGAAATGCTAATGCCTGAAAGGAGACAGAGATACTGATATTAATAGGTTGTAACATGTCACTAAGCCATTTAGTATGAATAATCTCATCAAAGGAATAGATTCATTTCCTTCCACTAGTATCAAATGAATCATGGGTTACTATTTTGATTCCTTTATTTTCAGGGGGTCACTATTTTCTTTCTGGAAATATTCTAAGGTTACAATTAAAAATCTCAGTGACTGACATTTGGTTAAAGTAGCTCCCTGAGGAGAGTTTTTGGCTAGGTTGAAATAAACAGTGACATGCAGAGGATCTATACTTAGAGTCAAATCAATCTGTGTAATGAAAACTAGTATTAATCTGTTTTACTTAAAGGGGTATTCTGTTTTTTTGTAAAGAGTTTTCATTATCAATAACGTCGTAAATGACACCTGAAAATATTTCTAAAGTATGTTATTTATATCTATGTATCTTCTTGATTAAACTGAATTTGTTTGAAAAGGGTTAATTAAAAACTGAGAGTAATAACTGTTAATCAAGCAGTTTTGACGGTATTGGTGTTGGGTTTGATAATGGCTCGATAGGATTAGTTCAAACCTCTAGAATTCGCAGGAGACATATTTCTCTACATTAGGCGTTTATGTTACTTAAATCCGTACAGAAGTTTTCTACCAACTTGCAAAAAGCATAACAAACTTGAAAACTTTGCATAATGCTTGTAATTTTCTTTGGCGTTTAAAAGTTAATGGCTGGATTCTTTAGTTAAATCTTTAAAATACGTTAAAGGGCACATTTCTCTAGATTTTGGTGTACAGTTTTCTCAAATTAGCCAAAAAAAATTTTGACCTATAAAAAAGCAGAATGTCCCTTTAACCTCAATTAATATTACTAGTATACTCTAAGAGGCATAAACACAATCGTAGCTGATTGATCGTTATCCTGAGCAGTTCTTAGTTGTGATAACCTTGACCTGTCTGGAATCAAAAATCTTAAATCAAGAAATCTGCTGGGAATGGAATTATTGTTAGCGGCGTTAGACACATCAATTTCTTGCTTGCATTATTTTCTCATTTTATGGTATTCTCCTTGATTCTATCAAAGCTTGATTGATTTTCATTGGGTAACCCAACTTCCTATAACGGATTACGCTTCATCAATTTCAATATAAATATATTTATTTTCTTGTCATACAGGAACAATGGAATAAAGAAATTGTTCTAATCTGATCTAAATATATATAAAATAACAGATTGCATCTCAGAATTTGTCTCTATACAGTAGAAGTCATGTCAATGCAAAGTCATGAATTCTATAATAGTTCTTTTATTTTCTAATTTGGTGATCTGAATTCACAAAAGACTATCAGCACCAGTAAGTTTTCTTTAACAAGAAAAACTGCATGGTTCAGTAGCTTAGATTATCCAGATAGACCAACAAAATTTCCTGACATGGCCACACAATCATCTACTTGTGTACTTGTGCAGTGTACAGCAAATGTCACTGTTGGCCAATTCTTGTCGGAAAACTTTTCAGCAATTAATAATATGTTTAATAAAAACTTGCTCATTTCTATGGTGCTTTTGTCATAACAAGTGTGTTCCAAAGACACCAAGCAATTGTAATTAAGCAACCAAAGATCCTTAGTCAACTATTGACTGAGAAAAGTAAAAAAAAATTGAATTTTGTTTATTATTTTTATGAGAATTGGAATAGTAGCCTCAAAATAGTACGGTCTTTGTGTTGATAAAAATATTAACAGGAGCACACATTTTATCTTCAAAATTTGTTTTTACAGAGGTCCATTTTCAGCCAAAATTTGTGTCTTTTTTGGGGTGAAATTTCTAGAAGGGTATTGTGTTATTGGATAAAATTCAAAAAAACTTTTTACTTTGCTCAGACACAATAATTGTAAAAAAAATCTATCCAGTTTTCCATGGAATGTTGACGCTATTCTTGGAGACGAATGTAAAATGGTAATGAAGGAAGGTAAGATTCCAATACAATGTTATAGCAATTAAAAAACTGAATATAACCAATTAAAATCACGTTATTTACTCGAGATGGGTTTGGTACTCATATAAGATTCATGAGTTTGCTCTGTGTGTGTTGGGAAATAATGTGTACATGCATGTTGATTGGCTAGTTTGAAAGTTCCTAATACCAGGTAATTCTTGAAAAATTCAACATTTAAAAGTTATATTTGTACTAATAAAACCTTTCAGATCTAGTCAACTGCTCACTATAAGTTTTTTTTCTTTTTTGTACGAAAGAAAAAGAAAGAAAGAACTATATTTTACAAGGATAACAACTTAGGTTCACAGTTAAAGATTCTTTCTACCAGCTGGTCCTTGGCCTAACCTCTTGGCAATGATCTTTCCTGGATTATCCATACCCATTTACAGCTGGGTCGACTGGAATTAGGAGTGAAGATGACTTATTCAGTGTTATCGGATTATCACATGCCGATTGAGAATTGATCCCACAGTAGCCATTTGGTCGACCTAACCAAGCAAATGACGTCATGTTAAGAACCAACGCTCTAACCGACTATGCTATAGAACCTCACAAATGTAGCATGTGCCAGCATGTTGGAAAGAGAAAATTGACTATTTACATTAAAGGAAGCCAAAAGGACGGAGAAAAGACAAATTCACAACATATTTTTTTCATAAAAGATTCCTTTAGATATATTTTTATGTCACAAACTTTCACGAACTCATCTGTAGTCTACATTTTGTCATAGCTTGCTAACATGCAAAGTAAAAGCCTTAGATCTGTACTAAAATTTATCATTTTTTGTGAACCAAATATAAAGCCATGTTCAAAAGAAACATTACTTTTGCCACTCTTATATAAAATTTCATCTCATATTATAGGTTGAATGGTTGTTTTTATTCGACAAACTCGAAACATTCATTCCAAATTCAAATAAGATTTTCAAACAAATGTTTCTTAAAACAATAACTGTGTTCCTACTGAGGGTAAAAGCCAGCTCTAAGCTAGCTTTCGTGTGCTCCCACTAGGCAAATTCCCAAACCGTCACAGTTCGGGAAACGAGAACCTTTCTTTTTGTTTTCTGCAATTTATAACTGAGAGCTATCTTAAATCTTAACTTAACCAGTGGAAATGCAAAATGGCAGTTTTATCTCGTTAGGCAATAGGGGGCGTACTGGTCTTTCTGGTCTATTGCATTTCTTACTGTTCTAAGTGTCAATAATAAACGACTTTGTGATCGTTACTAAAGTTGTTCGGGAATCAGTTAAACTCAGTGTAAGCGCAACACATTCGGCAATAAAGCTGGTTCTAACCTAGCTTAGAGCTAGCTTTACTTTACAATTCTCAGTGGAAACACAGTTATTGTTTTGCAGACAAAAGACTTACCCATAGTGCAACTACTGTGAAAATTATAGCTAATATTAATTGCCATATTCTTAAACCAGGTGGTAATCGTACATATAACTGATCACTGTGGCCTAATATCTGACTCAACTAGAAAATATAAAAATATATATAATAATAATACGCAAGCGAGAAACTGACAGAAACAAATTACATGAATTGACTTTTCACCTTTCAAGACATTGATTCTTGTCAACCTTTTGACTTTCAAAAATGGAGAAAAATTTGATTTTGAACGACAGCCAGCAACTTGCAACTTCTGGAAAAATCTGATCAATTTCTGAAATTTATGTGTTTCATTTAAGAATGAAAAGTTGCTGCCAGTAAGTATCAGTTGTTCATGTTCAACTGTCGAACAAAATTCGTGTATGTTGACCCGAACAGGCAGAATTCGCAACATCTAGTTGATTGAGGTTGTAAGCAGACAGTTGAAGTGAAGAGCACTCAGGAATCAGAGTGATAACCTCTTCCTTCCTTATCAAAAATTTTAAATTTCAAGGAGAAAAAGAAACAGCTTTTCAAGTCTAATTAAAAATATTAAGCTTTAGGCTTACTGGAATAGATGATAATAAAGTGGTATCTCATGAACAACCCCATGTATTTTCCTGTGTCCAAAACTTCATACACACTCACATAATATGTAATAGCTAATGGCAGATATGACTTTTATAGGATACCACTATGTCATAATCAATGCCAAGTTTAAAGATGGGTTTCCTTATTTTTTAGTGTCAAATTAAGCAACTATCATGTATTCTTAATCATATCATATGCATATAATTAAGGGTTTTAACCAATCATAAATGTCCAAAAAAAGACTTTTTGACCTATCTTGATCAGTTACTCATTGGAATTCTGCTGGTAATTCTCTTCAAATTGAGCTAATTATGAATTAATTATGGACATGTGAGACAAACTGGTATTTTTAGAACACCTACTTTCTTTTTTATAAGTTATAGCATTTTCATTTTCATAAATAAAAATAAGGCAACCCATCTTTAATGAAAGTTTATGTTTATTTTGAACCCATTGATCAAGTATGACCAAATTTCAAGCTTTAACTTTCGACAGATTGTGGGTTCACAATTCCACCAAAACTAAGACTCTTACGATGTCACTGTCACAAATGCTTCTGAGAGCACAAAAGGGATGTCATTAAATGAATGGTTAAATTGGAATTACAAATTGATGCTATCAGTTTCCCAAGACACATACCAAAAAAACTCTCTTAACAAGAACCTTTAATAAGAATTGACATATTGTTTTTTGAAAAACAAGCTTTCAAATCCCTAGCTAAATAAATTTCTATTAAACTTAAATGCCTGATCTATTAGTTTCTCAATAAAATTGAACAATAAACATATGAAAAAAAATTACCATGATTTTTTCAGAAACATTGTCCTTTGGGGCTTGTCATTGAAATGACACTTTTAAGGGATATTTCTTCTTCAGATGACCAAAATATTAAAATTTTTAAACTTGGTCTTTGTTCATCAATTGACTTACCTGGTGTCATAACTATACAACAGAATCCCTCTATAATCTAATAAATCTATAAAACTATGTAATAATTCATTAAACTATGTAATTTCGAAACAGAATTACTTAATTTAATAGATATATCGTCTTATATAGAGATTCTATTCTTTAGTCATAGCATCTGGTCCAACTGATGAATATATACAGGTAGCATTCCTTTTAAAGACGTCACAATAGCATTCCAAATGAGTGATAATGTTTTATTTACCTTTGATCTGTGAACATCACCATCATCTGTTTCACCAACTCCTAATAATTTTCTGGTTTTCAGGCGACTGTGTAAATCTCCACTACTGTGTTTTCTGAAAAACACAATTAATAAAGAAATTTAATATTGAGACTCATGTCCAAGTTTACTTCTGCATCAGTGAACTTATATTTAATTTAACACAACAGCAATCTTCAATATGACTTTAATGAAGACCTTAAAGAGATCTAGTCATATCAATATTTGTCATACCAACTGATCTTAAATTATGCTACATGAAGTTCTTTTCAGAAATAAATTCTGACTGTGTGTTCATATGCAAGTAACTACATCCCATGAAATGAAATGTGGGCTAATGAAGATGGGCAATGCCATGCAGGGTGCAATTTGGGAAATTTTGCCAGGACAGCGGCATTAGCCTGTTTATTTTGGATTTCTAACTGTTGAGGGAACTTTAACGGTCACAGTCTATAGCTGGATTATTGTCCCATGTCCATGTCAGCCTCCTTATCTACATCACTGACAGGGGAAACCAGGTTGAAAAATCTGAAGGTATTATCTCGAGCTATGCCAGGATTGAACTCTGGACCTTCAGGTTAGGGAGCAAGCATATTAACTCACTGAGCCACTGCACCTCCCTACATCACATGAAGTCTAAGAACTTGTTTTAGGAAAGGTAAAGGGCATGTAATTATTTGTTTTACTTGTAATACTGGTATTGGTTGTCATTGTTTGTCTACAATATATGCTTTTTTAAAGCAAAACAGTAAGAGTTTTCACACATCTATTATGAGATATAATGTAATGTAAAGTTTAATATGATTTTTTGTTGCTTGATTGCAGTTAAACTGTTATTCAAATTTTCTTTTTGAAATGTGACATAGGCACTAAATGAATTCATGAAAGCAAATTCAATACAAATATAACAATGTTTATTTGCTCTAGCATACAGCCCTGTCGTTAGGGTGGGGTCCGTGGGCGCTGGGCCCCAGCAAGTGGTAATTAAACACCAGTAAAACCTTCTTCAGTTCAGCAGAGATTGATTCATTTACAGTGTCTTTGTACAAAATCAAAAAGATAAAGATTTTGACACGTTTATGGTACCTCAAAATTGTCAGAAATGAGTTCTGGACCTTTAATTCTTCAAATTGAGTACAAAATCTGAGCCCGACAAGACTGCTAGTGTACCATCATCAATTCATATATATGTGAACCAGGCATGCGATGGCCCGTGACATCACCTAACATTAAGCTTATAGAAATATAATCCAGTCTATCAGTTAATATTGTCAGGTCTCTTACATTGGTAGCAGGATGACTTTCACTATATTCACAATGTCAAGTTATTATGACCTACAGCTTATAACTTGACTCTAATAGCCGCCTTTTTTAAATCGCATAAGTTTATGAATGCAGTGATATGACTGGATTGTACGCCAGCAAATATAGCCAATGAGAGGTCATAATGTTTACAGTCTTTCTGATTGGATTGTATGCCAGCGAATACAGCCAATCAAATTGCTTCATTCTGTGATGCTAAAAAATGTAGCTATTAGAGTCAAGGTATAAGCCAAGCGTTTTGAAGATAATACAGATAATACTACACCAATTTCTAGATTACTTACAGAGTTTCTCTATCTACATCAGTAGAAAGGTCTGGTGAGAATTAAAATTTAATACCTTGACTGCAATAGCAATTCTTTTATCACAAAGGCTTGTGAATGCAGTGATTTGATTGGATGGAACGGTAGCGAATACAGCCAATCAGTTGCCCTCAACAGAAAGACTGTAAACACTAAAAACGTTTACAGTATTTGTGTTGAGTGCTCTGATTGGCTCTATTCACTGGCATACAATCCAACCAAACCGCTGCATTTCTTGATACAAAAAGTGGCTATTGCAGTCAAGTATAAGACAAAGTTCGTAATAACTTGACATTGTGAAGATGATGAACTGAAGGTGCCTACACAATAACTGACCCTGTTTAATCAACAATAACAAGATGAGGTGAATTTGCTATCAATTATATAACATTATCAGAGTTAAATGGATTGTTTCTGTCTTCAACATTATTCCTGATAAGAAAGTACTTTATATGCTCTAGGCCCTCTGTTGGGATTAAATTTCTTTGTAATTTCTTATCAAAAAGTAAGATAATGGAATTTCTACGATGTTTTTTATGTCTTCTGTAGTTTTTGTATTTAAATGAAATAGTTAATACGATATGTTGCTGGATATTTTATATCATGTACATGTCAATCACAATAAAGTACTGGAAAAAAATATAAGAATACTAAGAACATAAACAACACTGATTTTATGAGATTGATAAGACTTAGTTTGTCATTTCAGTGGGGGTGCCATTGGGGGACATTTGTCATCTAGAAAAAACGTTTGCATCCCCAATTGTACCCCACTTCATTTCCTTCAAAATTTAAAACGTTGTTGCTTGTATATATTATATTTAGTCTGCTATTTGTACCTTAAGGCTCTGAAAACTGGTGCTGTCACTGGTCATGTGCAGAAGGGTCTTCCATAGTAGCACCCTTGACCAGCAACTATCATCAGCTTGGCAAGCCCATTGGAGGGTAAAAAAATTTGCACTCTAATGCAAAAAAACAGTGCATTCCTTCTACAACTAAAAACTTGGAATAACCTTATCTGATTGTTGTTTTAACAGCAGATTAAATTGGTATTGATCATCCTTGTTCATCTACAATTCATATACTTATTAATATCAGTCTGTATTCGGCCACCCATTCTTTCCAATTTCCAACCACAATTTAATATTTTACTGTACTGTATATATCAGATAATTAGTGAAATAAAATATATAGCATGCAATCAATCAAACTCCTTAAAAACATGACACCCACACATTAGATCTCATCAATATCCAACACCCACACAGTGGAAAATTTCAAGATTAATAGGCCAGTAAACATATCATGTCATTACAAGCTAGTACTAATAAAGTTTCATGGAATTAAACACAGAAGACTAATTTCCTAACGATTAGTTTCAGTGGGGCCAATGGGGGGAATTTTCTTATCTAGGAAGGCAGATAATGTATCTAATGCAATTATGGCAGTGGAAGTAGATGAATTTTTCATTTTTTCATTTATTGCCAGGAACACAATAAAGCTTTCAGGTTTGATGGAGCAACATGTAACCTTCTTAGCCTGATAAAATTGACCCCACCCAGTTCCTGATATCCAGAATTGGGATCAGACATAAAATGTTGCTTTTTACAAAAGCTTTTGATCCATTTCAGGAACGTATTTTTCACAAAAAGCCAAGTTTGTACAACTGTTTAAGAGTCCATCCATACATTGGCGACCAAATGTTCTACAATGTTCCTCTACCCCACATGATACCATTATACAGTCAAGGAGCATGGTTTGTCCTTTGTGCAATTTTTGTAAAATATATGCAAATATATGAGTAGGGCTAGGACTGTTGTTTGATTCATTTTCCCTAGTTTGCGAGAATTTTCGCCATGACAACCGTCGGTATCTATAAATAACTGAATCATTAATGAGTCCATCAACACATACCAGGCATTCTACAATGTCCCTGTGCCCCTCAAGGTACCAAAATAAAGTCAAAGTGCATCGTTTGTCCTCCTTAGAGCAATCCCATAAGTATTATGCATGCAAGGATTTAGATCACGTAAGATCCAGGTGAACACGTCAGCACCTACTGCTGTTGTAGATGTTTGGGGACAACATAAAGTGAGGCATGCCCAATCAGGGCCTTATTTGTCGGGCTGGTATCGTTAAAAATAATCAAATTCTGCTACATGTTAAGGTAACCTAATAATATCAAAAATGAATTCAATGCCTACCTTAGAAGAAGTTTCCAAAATGTATTCATTTTTCCTTTTTCAGAAAACTTAAACATATCTCATACCCTATCTCTAACAATACTAAACACTTCACTTTTAAATTATAATCCACATTTACACTCATATATTTCTATTGATCAATAAATCCTGATGAAGGTACAGTATCAGGAACGCACTCTGAACTATTCCTACACAAATTTTCAAATGAGAATTCCGTCATTTATACTTATTCTACAACCAATTGAGAAGAATAATGTCACATAAGGTACGATTTATTGATTAAGTTAGTGTTTAACAAATTTCTGATTCAGTTTCTGGAATCTTTCATTATTGGAAATAGGACTAAAAATTTCTTTTTCATGGCAAATCAAGAATAATTTTCTCACTTTTTGGACTGTTGAATGTTAAATTATTCTAGTGCTCTTGAAGTTGTATACAAGTAGCACTGTTTTTGAAGAAAATCCATTGATTAATGCAATTTTCTTAGATCAACTTAGGCTGAAATGTTAAACGCCTTGGAATAACTTTTATTCATACACCACAAAAGATGTTTCATTTCATTGACTTATCATGTTTAAACATCTTTAACCACCCAATTTTTATACTGATGAAAGTTCAATGTCTTGAATGCACATTCAATGTGGGTGTGAACACTCTAGTACTCTTTTCAATTTAAGCCTGTACTGCGACTATTTCACATGAAATGAGTTGATATCCAACACTAAAAAGTAAATCTCTATCCTGATGAAAGTTCAATGTCTTGAATGCACATTCAATGTGGGTGTGAACACTCTAGTACTCTTTTCAATTTAAGCCTGTATTGCGACTATTTCACATGAAATGAGTTGATATCCAACACTAAAAAGTAAATCTCTATCCTGATGAAAGTTCAATGTCTTGAATGCACATTAAATGTAGTACTCTTTACTCTAAAACATGGATGTTAACCAGAAACATAGATTGACATCAAATAAAAACATGTCTACCACCAATAAGAAACTTCAAGTATAAGTCTACTGTAACAGACTAATATCTAAGCTATCTCTGAGAGTTATTTACTGTAAGTTATGATTATCAGGAACTACAGACACTAGCTGACATTGGCGCTAGGTTAATCATACAAAGAAGATGTCAGCACAATATATCTTAGTCAGGGTGCTTAATATTCTTAACTCCTAAGAAGAGTTCCTACAACATGAACTTGTAATTATAGTGTAGAATCATGCTGTGAATTTTCTGCAATTTTTAAGAA